ATTACCATAAAAAGGTATTATGTAATGAGTGGTCTTAATTTCTGTTCTTATACCTTCAGAGCCATGGAAGTAAACCTGTAAGACTGAGGCAGATAACTGCCATACCATGTAACCTCTCTGTTGTATGTACAACACTGAAGTATAATTTTGATTATCTTATTGCCGGGATCCAACATTAATTACTGCTTTGTTTTATACTATTCATTTGCACCTACACTCTTTTGGTACATATAGTCCTGGTTATTTTAAATATGGCAAATTATTATTTTCTTTTTTCCGCATCTGTTATTTTAGCTGTATCCTAACAGAGAATTTTTTAGTTTTGACACAGTAAAAAACAAACTTAAGAACTCTGCTCTCTTATTCATGTAATATTCTCCCGTATAACTCTTTAAGGAGGTTATAGTGACAAAATGATTTTGCCTAAAATTTAGATCTCAGTAGATCGGTGAGCAAAGGACAATTCTTCAAAAATGAAAAAAGAAGCTCTATTGAGCTTCTGACATGTTCTGGGCACAAATAGGTACCTTGCATTGAATCTCCACCCTAATGCTATGAGTAGTAGGTATTTTTCTAAATTTACAGATGAACAAATAGAAATTCAGAGAAATGATAATTAGTAAGTGCTGGACCTAGGATTAAAATCTATTTTATTTCCAAGCCTATCTTTTTGTATTATTATTCTAATCCTGCTACCCATGAAAAGAAGAAAATAAAGTTTTTTTTAAAAATGCAACAGTTAATAACTGACAAAAAATTAAAAGATACATTTCCAGCAGCAACAAAAATTATTAATAAATGTATTAAAATATATATGAGAGTTATAGAGTATATTGCAAAACCTTAATGAAATTTAGTGACCTTAATAGATTCAGAGATATGCCATGTTCATGAATTGAAAGACTATCCCACTGGTATTCTAGATATCTAGTCAATTTTGGTAAATATTTTTTTCTTTAGTTGTGTTTATACATATCTAGATACTATCAATCTAACTAGTTGATACTATCTCATTTCCACTAAACTCTCAAGTAATATCTGTACTTTATTTCTCAATTTTATTTATCCGAAATCTAGCCCCTGCCCATTAACTTTAATTGTATGGATATTTAGGTGGTTTCCATTCTTTTTACTATTAAAAACAATGCTACAATAAGCATTTTTATTCATGTCTTCCTTTTTAAATCTGGAATTTCTCGAGTATGTATTCCAGTAGAGTGGGATTGAAAATTATGCACATATTTACTATATATTACCATTTGCTCTCCTGACTGCTTGTGTCAGTTTATATTCCTACAATCTATATGAGAGCTTTCATTCTTCCATTGGTTCGTTGTCAGTTTGTGTTACTGGTATTGACATTTTTTGCCCATCTTGATGGGTGTAAAATGACTCAATATTGTTTCTATATTTAGTACCTTATTTACAAATAAGAAAATCAGTGAAAATTTATTTTTGACATTTAGATTTTCTCTTCTGTGAAATACCTGTTCATATCTTTTGCCACTTTCATTGTTTTATCTTAATTTATAGGAACTCATTAAATATTTTAGATGCTAATCATTTGTTATATTTATGACACATATCCTCTACCAATCTATAGCCTGGTGGTTGGTTGTTTGGCTTTGCTTACGGTATCTTTTTTCTTATAGATTTAATGATTTGTAGTCTTGTATCTTGTTTAAGAAATTCTTACCTCCAAAATCAAAATATTCTATATTTTCCTCTAAATTTTGTTTTTATTTACATATTTAGTTCTCAGAATAGGAGTTTATTTTCGTATATAATATGAAGTAGGCTTTCAAGTCTATACTGCTGGTCTATATGTGTGTCACCACAGTCTCTTGACTTGAATAGGATTACAACAAATCTTGATGAATGATAGGGTGGACCTAGTTCTTAAAAATTGTCTTGGCTATTCATGTTTCATTGCTCTTTCATGTTAATTTCAGTATCAGCTTCTTAAATTTCAGAGGTCAAGGGGTTATATCCTGTTGGTATTTTGATTGAAATTGCTTTGAATTTGCAGATTAATTTGAGGATAATTTACATAAATTGGATATATTACTGCCTTAAGTCTTCTGTAATATCTTTTAGTAGTAAAGATACTTATTACTTCTATAAGTCTTATACATCTTTTATTAGAATTTCTTCCCAAGTGCTTTATGTTTTTTGTTGTGACTTTAAGTGTTTTTTTTATTACATTTTAAGTTGGTTGTTAATGTATAGAATATAATTAATTTTCTTATGTTGATCTTAAATCTAGTAACTTTGTTGAACTCTCTTATTAATTCTGTAATTTATAGATTATTGGATTTTCTGTGTAGATAGTCATATTGTGGAGAATGATAATTTTGTTTCTCCCTTTCCATTCTCTTTACCTTTTATTTCTTTTAACATGCATTACTGTGCTATCTAGAGCTTCCTATTAAGTAAAGTTGAATGTGCCATAGATTTTTTGATAGATAACTTTTATCAAATTAAGAAAGTTCTCTTCTAGTCCTGGTACAGTGAGAGTATTAGCTATGATGCTGAATTTTATCTTATGCTTTTTGGGGGCCAGCATATATGGAAATGATTGTATGCTTCTTTTAACACATTAATGTGGTATATTTTGTTAATAGATTTTTTAAATGTTTAACATAAATATTACTATTTCAAATTAGCTAATTTGTGAAAGAGGAAGGAATAAAATGCATATATATGTAGGTTTATAAAATGTTAAAGATTTAATTAACCAAGAGGTGAAAAAGCAGATATTTGCTTATTGAAATTCATACCTAATTCGACTATACTCACTGATTTCAACTCACCTTTTTAACAGCTTTTTTTCCACTAAGTTTAATTGTCACCTCAGATGCCTAAATTCTGATAGAGAAGACAATAAACACTAAAATGATTAGAAGCATAGTGGTATAAATAGGAGGGAAAATAATAGAAGAATGTTAAACAGCATAAATAATGTTTGTTTAGCAGTTTCAGCTCTGAAGTCAGACATATTAGTTGTGAATGCCTGTACTATAGTAATCCAGTGAAGGAAATTTACCTGTGGGATTAAAGGAAAGACAAAATAAGCATGTTACTTACCATATATTTATTTTCCTTTATTTATTTACTTTATTAAAGTTTACCCAGAAGCAATATGTGCTTATTTGGTATGTATCCTGCCAGCCTTTTTTTAATGCACAACAATATTGTCACATTTTTAATGGAAGAATATAATGTTTACCTTTTTTTACTACTGCGGATATGAATAAAATATCCGGAATGCTAATACGATCTTATCAGTCTCTCTTTTTTTAATTAGTTAGAAGTTGCAGAGGTGTTTCTAAAGTTTATTTGGATAGAAGTTTAGCAATGAGTATTGATTCCTTTTAAATCTTTCTACAGAAGTACTCATGGATGTGTTCATGCTTGCACGCCTGCATGTACACACACATAAGAACATTCATTAGAATATTTTTTGTACTAGTAAAGAAACAAAACCAGCATAACTATCCATCATTAGGGGCATGAAGTACATCCATGCAATGAGATATCCTGCAGCTCTGAAAAAGAATGATATAGTTCCATAGTAGTACATGTAAATCTATCTCTAAATACATAATGAGAAAAAAATCACAGTCCAGAATATTTCTAATGGTTTACCATTGAGTTCTTTTTTCATTAAAAGAGGAAGGGAGTATATATTTACTTAATTATCATGCACCCATACTGAGGAATAAAATGAAGCCATTAAGAATGTTATGACATGGAAAGATCTCTAAGACATATTTAAGACATTATTTAAAATAATAATGTCATGGAACAGCTATTATCTGATCTCATGTAAAAAAAAGTTGTATGTATATGGTATCTCTGTAAGTGCATAATAATAACAGGATTTAAACATACATGCATACATACATACATAAATACATACATACCAACAATGGTTACTTGGAGACTGGAGGAAATCTTTATATATCTATATTATTTGGATATTTTATGATGAGACTTCATATAGTATTTCTGTAATAAAGGAAAAGGTAATATGTGCTCACTATAAAATGAAGATTTAAAGGTAAAATTAAAAAGAAAATAAAAATCCACAGTAGCCTCACCACTCATGCGTATCCTAAGACAACTACTCTTAAAGCCTTGATAAATATCCTTCCAGAGGTGAAGGACATTTTGTGGAGGACACATAATCCTAAACCAAAGAGAGAGAGAAACAGTACCACATAAAAGTTTACATTTAGCTCAGCAGACAGTAGACATGTTTTTTTAAGTATAAAGATAACATAGCATGTAGCTTACTGTCTTTTGGTTGTACTTTTCATTGTATCCCCGATGTTTTATAGCACAAATAGCAGTCAGTAAATATGCGTTTAAGAAATGTGTGGTGGTGATTTAGTAATAATTGGTGAAGCTCTTCCAGTTCCAAAACCCGTGGTTAAGAAATCATGCTGGTTGACTGTTAGAAAACTGCCAATGGTAGCTAGGTAACATCAAGCAGATACTCCGTACTATTACTACCGATAGCTTGGATTAGCACTAATAACTTTTATTGCTACTGTCTTCTCAAATCTGTGTAAGACAGAGAGAACTCTTACTAGAATAGATAAATAGTCTGGGGTGGCATAGAAAGCTTTGTTTAAGAAATAATACGTAGCCTTTTCATCTAAGGGGCTCAGGCCTTCTTTGTCCTTTTACAGGCCTTATCTCACACCCCAGAACACTTCTCTGTACATGTAGTAGAGAATGTAATAATTCAGTTACCCATGGTGAGAGAGACATATAAAAACTGTAGTGTCCAGCTTTTCTATTCTTGTGCCTGTCTTCCAGTCAAACAGAGATCATATTGAAACTGCTTAATTTTGTAAATATTTTTATATATATGTAAGTATATATAAAGGATAATTTTAATTCTATAATTAGTTTGTTATGGAGCCTGAGATCAAGTTTCAGAATTTTTTTAAGGAAACATTAATTTGTACTGTTTGTGTTTTTCTTCTTAGTTTCTGCCACTGCCTTCTACAAAGCACAACCTGTAATTCAGTTCATGTGTGAAGTTCTTGACATTCATAATATTGATGAGCAACCAAGACCTCTGACTGATTCTCATCGGGTAAAATTCACCAAAGAGATAAAAGGTGAATTAATTAGCTTTTGGAACAACTTAACTATAAAATGCATGGATATAACAAACTTTTCTTGGAAAAAAAATTTTTAATTAAAATTTATTCATGTAACATTACCATTAAAATATAGATCAGTTATAAAATATTAAATTAATTACCATAACATCTTAGATAGTGTTTCAATGAAAGAAGTACCAAGTAATGAAATTAATATCGATACCAGCTAATTTTTTGTTAACACTTTCTTTGAAGGTGTATAAGAGTATCTTGTGGGAAAATGCTTCTATAGTACTGCTGAAAGTAGAAAGCTTATTTCAAAAACATTGTTACTTCAGAAGTGGAATCATTCTTTGAACATATTCTGATGTAATGACTTTCTTATTTTTTGAAATGATGGAATATTTTATTCTTTTAAAAATTTATGGATATGGGGCTAGGCTGTTTCATGTGTTGTTCTAGAGTTGGAACTTAATTATTTTGTGTACATTATACAGTTGACCATTGATCTTGCCTATTTTAGTTAGATGCTAAAATTTGTACAGTGGTGTTGCATCATATGTATGTTTTACTAATGTAAATTTATCTCTGCATTATTTTTCCAAAGAGAAAAAAAAAATTATACTAGCCTTCTAAAATTTATATTTTGTATACATACTCTATATGTACATACATTTCTACATATATTTAAATATAGTTTTATATGCAAACCTACATATACTGTACTTTATCGGCAATTTAAGGGATTTTTCCAGAGTAATTTTGATTAAGAGTAACTGAATACATCATGCTTGCTCCAGTAATCATTCATTCTTTGCCATTTTAGTAACCCAGAAAGACATCATCACAGTAGTAAAACATTATAAGGAACATCCTTCCTGCTTTGAAAATAAACATCTATTTATCTTAAGTAATTGAAGTGCCAGAATAAGAAACTTATTTATTACTGTGCTGCAACCCTACCATTATCCTTTCATAATCTGCATTAACTGTACAGTTGGCACTTTTGGGAGGTAGTGCGTTACCCACCATTAACACATGATCATCTAAATGCCATGGTTTCCAGTGGAGTTGCTGCTGAGTTACCACCTCTGATATCATGGAGTCACTTACCTTATTGTGCAGTAGCTATGCAATCAACTCATATCACCACTTTATCCCAGAAAATACAAGATGTACAGAACAAGGATTCAACTGCTACCCAAAGAACATGGACTCGATCTTAACTTCAACTGCTCAGAGGCCCAAAGAAATGACTGAAAAAATGACTAGAAAGCATTATAAAGTTGATGTTATAGTGAAGGTAAAGCCAAGTTTATAGGTTAAATATTTGATATTTTAAAGCCAAAAAATATATTTTTTTTGGTTGGAGGGTTTAGGGAGGGTCCTAGGCAGAGAATTGTGTAGTCCATTTTTTTTAACTTTCAACTTTTCGCTAACTCCTGGGTTTGAGTCTAATCCTTAGGAACCTATGACCTTAGGTACAGGGTAGAAAAATCTCAGTTGGAGCTAATTGACAAACTAATGATTTTTTCCTCCATTTAAAGTCAAAAAAGCTTTCAAAAAAGTGAGGGGGGGGAGTCTTTTTAAAGTAAGTACATCATGTATTCCTACCACAGTAACTCAAAAAAAATCAAAGTTATGTGTTCTGTGCTATATATTTGGGTTTAATTTTTAGCTGGCATAAGGAATTTGATGAAAATTATTAAATAGTGATAGGAAATGTGCTATAATGATTTAATTTCCTTAGCATACTCATTTGGTTCCAGTTGAACTGATTCCTAAATATTAGGGTGGTTTCTTCAAGCACAAATTCATCATAAAGAGCAGAAATAATGGGATGTACATGGTAAAAGTACTATATATGTATAAGAGTTGCAATTTATTTTTGGTAAAAACTTATGTAGTAAGCTTGTAGAACCTTACTAATAATTTTTTTAATTCAAAGGGAAGACTTGAAAACAAATTGCTAAGTGGTATAAGACAACAGAAATTTGTTTTAAATTTTCTATTGTGTTTTCCCTCTAGACACTATATTTTTACATCTTGCTTACTTTACATTGTTGGTATTATCTTCTTATAAAACCTCTTGATAGTTTATTATTTTAGTCTCCTTTATATTATAGAGGCATAGTAAATACTCTAATTCATCTGAAATTTTAGTTTTATAAAGGCAGTTACTAAAAAAACATTTCTCACTGATTCAATTAGGAGTACTCAAGAAAAATCCAAACCAATCTGATATAGTGACACTGTGTTTATTTAGCATCTTAATTTGTGCCAATACATTAGAAGAAAATATTACTATGAGTGAACTTTGTGTTTGGTTCTGTAGTTAGTAATGCACAGGAAAATAAGTTATACTATAGCAGGGTTTCTCAACCTGACACTGTTGATATTTTGGAGCGGGATAATTCTTTGTTGTGATCAGGGTGGGCGGTAGTACTGCCCTGTGCATTGTAGAATATTTAGCAGCATCCTTGGATCTAAGCATCCCTAAACCTACCATTCACTAGATACCAATAATACTCCCCAGTTGCAACAATCAAAAATATCTCCGGGCATTACCAAATGTTCCTGGGAGGGCAAAAATCACCTCTGGTTAAGAACCACTGCACTATAGGAATCAAAAATATAAAATGGAAATAATATAAAAATAATAACTATAAATAATATCAGAGAGCTAAAAATTGTCCTCCATTTATCCCTTTTTAGATTTTCCTCCATTTGAGTATAGGCCATAGAAGTAGAATTGCTTCTCTGAGCAGTAGCCACTGTATATTTGTTAACCCTTCTCTAGTTCGCTCCAAGACAGCACTGGCCAGTATGGTATCCATTAGCCACATGTAGCTTATTTAAACTAGTTAAAATTAAATTTTCAGTTTCTCAGTCACACTGGCCACATATTGTACTCAGTAACACATATTGTTAGTGATTACCATATTAGCACAGATAGAGAACATTCCATCATCTCAGAAAACTCTGTTGGACAGGGCTGCTTAAGAAATTCATCCCAAAGAATTTCAGCCAATGATTTAAAAGTCCATTGCTTCACTTTCAAAAACAGACCTAGAATCTTCAAACTCCTAGGGTCCATAAGTGGGCTGGAAGGATCCATGTGTATGTGCATTTTTCTGAGTGCTTATTGCTTTCATGAGATTCTCAAAGGGGATCAGTGATTCCCTAAGTAGGGATCATCTGATCGAAGAATTATTTTGATTGCATTTAATTTCTAATAGTACTAAAAGAGCTGTGTCGCTATATTATACTTCAACAAAATTATCATTCCACTTCTGTTAAAAGGGCCTAGGATTTTTTTTTTCCCCCTTGCTTTAAAAATCTTTGAAGGACGTCCTTGAGCTTTATGAAATTCTGATGTTCAGTCAGTATGTGATGACTGGGATGTTCAAATTTCATATACATTGAAGGTTATAGAATATCTTGAGAATTATTGCAACTTCTCTTTCATTCCTCCTTCCTTCTCCCAGAATAAATACCTGAATTTATTGTAAACAGGCTTTTTATTAATGAAGAACTTTGTCCCTTGATCTACAGGCGTTTCAAATTTTTTGGTACTATTTCTTAATATGTAGAACTTGATAGGGTAGGGAAAAGGTTTGGAGTTAGGTCTACTGTGATTATAACCATTATTTGCAATGTCACATATAAAATCCTTTCTTAATATCACATTGCCTATATCACAGATTTTCTGTTCAGAATTTATTTGAGTTTTTATAGTAGTGAACAGACTTTATAGCTATAAATGTTTTACATGTGTCAGTTCTATAACCTCAGTTTTTCTTGTTGGGAACAGGTCTGAAGGTTGAAGTGACTCATTGTGGAACAATGAGACGGAAATACCGTGTTTGTAATGTAACAAGAAGGCCTGCCAGTCATCAAACGTAAGAAAAGCTGGTGTTTGTCAGCAGAGATGATATGAAGCAGCTTACTCCAGTTAGTGGATTGGGAGTTTTGCTGGCTCATACTGAGATAAGAGTTGATAATGTGTACTTTTTTTTTTTTCCCCAGCTTTCCTTTACAGTTAGAAAATGGCCAAACTGTGGAGAGAACAGTAGCACAATATTTCAGAGAAAAGTATACTCTTCAGCTGAAGTACCCACACCTTCCCTGTCTGCAAGTGGGGCAGGAGCAGAAACATACGTATCTGCCACTAGAAGTAATGTGTTTAGGTTGCTTATTAATATCCTCTTATTCATCATTCTTTTGGGGTCTTTTAACTTCATACCTTCACGTTTATTCTGGAGATTTAACTTTTTCAATTTTATTTTATTCTAAATTTTTGGTAATCAAATAATATGGAAAAAATTCTTCCACAGTCCTACCACTCTAAAGATATACACTGTTAGTATTTTGGAACACTTCTTTGCAGCCTTTTTATTTGGTATAAATTTTACCTAACTATAATCGTGCTGTAAAGCAGTATTGTTTATTACTTTTTACTTAATGTGTTAAAAAGAAGCGATTTAATGAAGTAGATTTTAAAAAATTAAAATTTAATTTCACATGTAATTGGCACTGAGAGTTTAAAATATATACATATATGCGAATGTCTAGTACAAAACTTTTTTCCATTTGCAGGTCTGTAATATTGTGGCAGGGCAACGATGTATCAAGAAGCTAACCGACAATCAGACTTCCACTATGATCAAAGCAACAGCAAGATCTGCACCAGATAGACAAGAGGAAATTAGCAGATTGGTTAGTACTTAACCCTAGAAATGGAGATTAAAAATGTATTAGGATGAACTGCTAAAGAACCATGTCCTTAGCAATTTGTACCTTATTACCATTTCATGAGCTATCAGAATTTAAAGGATTCATGGAAGTAAGTAGTGGTGTTCTGGGAGTAAACCTTGGTTCTATGAAAAGGGTTAGCTCCTTCTTATTTAACTCAAAACTCTTTAATTAGATACAAACCAGAATCTCTTAGAACTAATGTTTCAATATAGTGAACTAGAACTTTATGGCATCCCACCTAAAAGAGGAGGAAGAAGAGTCAAGGTATCACGACTAGCAATAGAGTCTTAATACTCAGAGTAGGATTGCTTAGCCCCCAGTATCAGACTGGTAACTACAGGATAAACAAAGAAATATTAAACAGTTCTAACCATGAAGGGTTTCTAAGCTGTCTTATTGTTCTAAATGGGGAGGAAGGAAGAGTTATCAATACCACTCTATAAAATGATGGGATAAAGGCAAAATGAAAAATAAAAGGGACCTGGATCTTATGCTCTTTAATATCATTTAAATTGCCCAGGTAAAGAGAAAAAAGTCAAAATATTAGTATTACCTAAAACAACTTCATAGCACTTTCAAAAGCAATTTTAATGATTGTTGAAAAAGGGTTACAGAACTGTCTCATTTTATAAGCCATTATAGAAAAAGACTTTTTTTCTTATAGTTTTATAAGAAGTGAATGAAAGTTGTTACAAGATATTTAATTAGGAAAATACAGTCTGGTTCTCATCATGGATTTTTCTCTGATCTACCATGACAAGATTTTAAAACCTTTAAGAGACTAGAACCTCTCACTCTATAAAATCTTAACTACTTCTAACTCATTTATTATAGCTTTTCTGTTCAGCAAGACAATATTGTACAGTGGTTAAAAGTATAGGCTTTGGAATTTAACAGCTCTGAGTTCAAAGTCTAGCTTCTTCATTTATTGTTACTATTATTTTATTATTCTGATAATAGCATCTGAAAGGCTAGTGCAGTGACTAAAGGTAAGAACTCTACAATCACAACATAGCATGGTTTCGGATTCTATGTCACTTGCTTAGCTATATAGTTTTTAAGCCACTCATTTCACTTTCCTAAACTTTAGTTTTATCTTCTGTAAAGTGAAGATTATAAAAGACTGACTTTTGTAGTTATAAGGCTGTGTGAAAATTAGTTATAAAACATTTAGCAGCTAGCACATCATACGGCAAGTCCTGTTAAATCAAGTTGTTCTTTATAACCTTACTGTGGAGGTACACTAAAACACACTAGAAATGAATGGCATTTAAACTTGAAGAAAAGATGCATCAGTGCCTAATTTAGAAAACAACTTCAACTGCTTGTTTGGGGGAGATTATTTTTACATATTTAGATTATACAGTTTTGGGGTTTTTTATTTTTTCTTTTTTTGGTCTGTAATACTGTGGCAGGCAAATTTTCATAGATTACTCAAAGACTTGAACATTGCCTTCTTTTTATAACCTTATTTGACATTTACCCTAAGACCAGGTAAATATGTTTTGAAAAACACAGTTAGTTACTATATTATATATGTTATAAGCATGAATTACACTCTCGAGATCCAAGCCTACACTGAATTACGATAAATTCTTTATCTTTGTATGTATGGATATATTATGTAAAAATGATCATCTGAGTGTCATACTGGCTTTCTTATCTGTCCCAATTATATCCCATTAAGTGCATTTTATAATATGGCACTTTTTATCTGAAAATATTCAAGTAAATTTTATATCAATTGTAAAGTAATTAGCGGGGAAAAGCCTTAGGATTATCAATATTTGCTATCAAACTACATAAACTAAATTTTAATAGTGTATATCTGGATCCTCTAGTTAAAGGTTCTTAACTTTTTGGGGGTCAAAGGTATTTCTCTTACAATCTCTAGACCACCCTCCCCAAACTATATTAGGTTTAATCATATAAAATTATTATTTTCATGGGTCATAAATATTTGAAATTTCTTATTATTCAACCTAATACATTTAAATTTACTATAAATTACCAGGAAGTTCACAGACTTAAGCAGTCCATTCGTGATCTGTGGTCCTCAGGTTAAGATTCTCTGCTCTCTAGTTAGGACACCATTAAAAAGGCCTATTGTAGAACATTGTTGATAAAGTAAACAAAAAAAAATAGAGACTTCTAATAAGTAAAGTACAGGATTTGGAGGAATTTTGAAAGTAACTACAAACTTTCTGTTGTTAGGTAAGAAGTGCAAATTATGAAACAGATCCATTTGTTCAGGAGTTTCAATTTAAAGTTCGGGATGAAATGGCCCATGTAACCGGACGTGTACTTCCAGCACCTATGCTCCAGTATGGAGGACGGGTAAAATCTCTTGGTAGTTTTTTAAATTATAAATGTAGTTTCTGTATATGGAGAGAAGGTCATCCTAGCTAAGCCTGGAATTTAGAAAATGTTTTATTGTTCCAACAATATTATTTTTGTTTCAAGATGTCTTTGCTTGAGTTTAGTAGAATTTTTTTCTACGATAAAAATATAAGTAATATTGATTTAGAACAACCTATCCCATGTAGAATATCATATATATGTATATTAGCTTGTTGAAATAAACCATATGTTAAGTGTTTGTTCCTTTTTGCCGTATTTCTCTTTCTCTTTTTTTCTGTAGAATCGTACAGTAGCAACACCAAGCCATGGAGTATGGGACATGCGAGGAAAACAGTTCCACACAGGAGTTGAAATAAAAATGTGGGCTATAGCTTGTTTTGCCACACAGAGGCAGTGCAGAGAAGAAATATTGAAGTAAGGCTTGTCACTTTGGAACCTTTCTGTGTTTAAATTTTGTATTTTAATTTTAAATTACTCAGCTAATGTTCTAACTAGTGTTGCCTCAGCATGAAGTATATTTAATCACTGAGCCTTTAAAAATTAATCTTCTCAATATTTTGATGACGATTCCTGAATTTTTTAGTCATAGTAAAGTCACTGATTTGTTCTTGTAGGCATCCTAATAGACTAGCTTATGTGATATAGCAGGAGCATCATTGGCTTTTGATGGCAAATAGATTAGGTTTAATTCCCAACTTTGCCACTTCCTAGCTTCATTACCATGGATAATTTATTTAATCTCATTATGCTTCAGTTTTCACCTTTTAAAAATAGAGATAATAGTTACTATCTGCTGGGCGAGGATTAAATAAAATCCTTATTTCTCAGTTGATTTTCTTGAAAGAGATATAACTCCTCATTTCTACTTCCATACTTTTCAAAATTTGGCCTCCATCTCTACTACTTTCCTCAGATTCTTTCCCTCGACATGTTAGTACTCAACAATCTTCTGTTTAAATTTAAAATAAACAAAATAATATCTTCAATTTTCCATTTACTTCACTTATTCTCTCAGGCTTCCAGACTTCCATTCTCCTTCCTTGAAATCTTAGTACTCTACTGAAACTGGTTTCTGGAAGGTCTTCATTATCTTTGTGTTTATCAATTCTAAAAGTCTCTTCTCAGCCATGATTTTTCTCAAAAATTGTGCAGCATTAGATACAATTGACTACCTTCTTGACAGTCTCTCCATTCTTGCCTTCCTGGTTCCTTTTTATCATGTTGGCTTTTCTTCTCCTCTCTTTTGGAACTCTCACGTCTTTGGGGCTCTGGCAGGCTCAAGGGCTTCTTCTGTCACTCTGGTTTGAAGAGCTGTGCCATTGTGAAAGAGTACCAGCTCCACTTGTGACTACCCCCACTCAAAAACTCAGGCTTCTCGACAAAGAATAACATTAAAAATCAGTATGGCATTTAAAATCTTTCACGTGCCTCTTAAGTCCTTTCTTCATTTTCACATATTCTGGGCAGAAAAGTGAAGCACTGTATCCCCTCCATCTCCCTTGCATTTTCTCGTTTCCACTCACTGCATGTTATTGAAAATGCCTTTTTCCGAACTCTGCTCATCTAAATACTACCCAATCTTCTGTGATTTGTGATGCTGGAAATAATCTTTCTTAACTCTAAACATACTGGTTTATCAATATCCTCACTTTCTGTGTAAAATATAATTGTATTATAATTATTTATGTAAATCTTTCATCTCTCTTTCTGGAATCTAATTTTCTTAAGAAAATAGTTATTGTCTAATTTAAATCTCTACTAATAGATCCTATAAAATATGCCCATAATGAATAGCTTTTGAGTAATTTAGAGACAGATTTATCCAGGTCAATTCAGAATTTATTTTGCCTCCTTTTGTAAGAAATAAATTTTTATTTGATTCTATTCACTTCTTTTTATTAGCTACAAATCTCTAACTATGTTTTAAGATTCACTTAATATTTTCTTTTCTCCAAAATTTTAACCCCCCTGCTTTCAAGTAAAATCATAAGGACAGTTTACGACAATGCTACAATTATCTTACTTGACTTCCAGAGACCAAAGAAATAGCCTCCAATTGTTTTTCAAGCTTTGAGTTATTTTACATTTGTTGTTCATGGCTTGATAGAAATCTCATAATCATTGGGCTTATGGCTCTTGTTCAGGCTGACTAAAAATATTTACCTTTTTACTTATCAACAATTATTTTTTTTAATTTTTATTTTTTAATTAGAGTTGACATTCATTATTATTTTAGTTTCAGGTGTACAGCATAGTAGTTAGACATTTATCTAATTTATGGCATGACCCCCCTATTAGTCTAGTATCCACATGGCATTATACATAGTTATTACAATATTATTGATTATGTTACCTATGCTGTGCTTTATATCCCCATGACTATTTTGTCACCTTTGTACTTTTTTAATTAAACACTAATAAGAAGGAGAAGGGAATTCCTATAAACTTTCTCTCTGTTCTAAGAGAATCAGTGTTTTGATCAAAGATAACTCAGATCCTTGACTTAGGACCTTATTTTAAAAACAAGTAAAGTGATTGTTAAACCTCGACATCATTACTCATTTATCCGAGGCTAAATGCAGAATTTTGTTTAGATATGAAATGATGAGTCTTTTTGCAGTGTGGATAAAGTAAATTAAGTGCTGCCTGCCTCATTTGTTTTTAAATGTTATTTTCATAGTTTTTGTTTTGTTTTTTTTTACCTGAGAGATAAAATCTTTCCTGCTATCCTAGTTTGAGATAGGTAATATTGTGAAAAGAAATTCTAGACTAGGTCAGAGTTCTGACTCTGTCACTTACCTAACCATTTGACCTTGGCCAAATACATAATGTCCCTGCAACTGTTTCCTGGTCTGTAAAACAGGAATAATACCAGACCTTCCACTTTCTAACGAATCTTATAAGGACCAAACTAGAAAATGTACATTAGCTTAAATTTATCAAGTTCTTGTAATGTCTTGGATAGTGTGCTAAGTGCTTTACATGTATTATCTCATTTAATCATCACACCAACCTGATATTAGAAGTAATCATTTTACAAATGAGAGAAACTAAAAAACATTGCCTTAAATTTCATAGCTAGTAAGTAACAGAACTAGGATTAGAACCTCTCATGCTAACTCTAGAGCTGAGCTCTTAACCAACACACTCTATTACTAATGCCCTTGGTAAACCATAAATGGCCACATAACTGTATAGCAGTGTTAGTTTGCAAAATAGATTACTGACCCACTTTGCCCTTAACATCGGTAGTCTGGTGAGCTCTTCATATATGGGGCACATAAATCTTTGCTTCATTCTCCATTCCTTTCTCATACTTTCCATTACTACTTTATAGATGTTCATGACTAGACAAAGTGCTTATTTTTAGTGATTTCTCCTTCTAGGGGTTTCACGGACCAGCTGCGTAAGATTTCTAAAGATGCGGGGATGCCCATCCAGGGCCAGCCTTGCTTCTGCAAATATGCGCAGGGGGCAGACAGCGTGGAGCCCATGTTCCGGCATCTCAAGAACACATACTCTGGGCTGCAGCTCATTATTGTCATCCTGCCAGGGAAGACGCCCGTGTATGGTAAGGATATCTTAAGATTGCATTTTTCCTCAAGTACTTGATACTCCTTTTTAGAATTCTGCCAAAACATATTCTAAAGCTTTCAAACATTAAAACATTTTATAGCTTACAATATTTTAAAGCCGTTTATTATTACTTTAAAAAGACAAATCAGTAGGGTAAACTAAATGGTCCAAGAAGAGACCCTGTAAAAAGAATTTTAGTAAAGTAGGCATTACAAAACAATGGTTAAGGGTAGAATTATTATTAAAAATGCCCTTGAGATAACTTGATTATCATTATAATGTAGTAGTGATAGAGTCAGACTATGCTGCTTAATACCCAGGTACTGCCAGGTGTACTACCTGTGCGAGCTGGCCAAATTACTTAAACATTAGTTTCTTCATTGTGAAAACAGTATACTATTAACTTGGCAGTTGTAAGAATTAAATAAATTTACATATGTAAAGGACCTAAAATAGCACCTGTCATATAAACACTCAGTAAATGTTAGCTATTATTATTATTATAAACAAATTAAAGTTTTGTGATTAATAAGTTAAATATAAATCATCGAATTATGGAAAAACAAAGTAAGTATAATTTTCAAACTACTGAATGGAGTATAATCAGTTAGACATGATAGAAGAATTCACAGAGGAAAATGGTTAGATTTCACTGCATAAAAATTAAAATTTCTGTATGTCACAAATGTATAACTAAAATTAAAAGGAACTCAATAGAAAGTGAAAATATCTGCAGCAGATGGGACAATGAAGGGCTAATATTATTAGTTAAAATATTTATAAAGATCTGTTATTGTGTTCAAAAAAGAAAACAATTCTTGTTTTAGATTAATGAGCAAAGAATATAATCCAGGATTTCTCAGAAAACAAAACAAAACATGTAAACATGAGAAAACATTGGTTTTCACTAGTAAAGTACAAATTAATAAAATTAATTTGCACTTTATGTACTTTTAAGCTACTAAATCAACAAGTATGTTTAAATATTGTAATACCTAGTGCTTGTAAGTATGTAGTGAATCTAGCATTTTCATACATTGCTGATGGCAGTATAAATGATAATATCCTTCCCACCAAAAGTAGAAAAATGTGTTTTTCATCTGTGATTCAGTATTTTCAACTCCAAAAATGTGTTCAAAGAAAAAAAATCCTCTCCAGCATTTGGTACAGTCATTTTTTTAAATTTTAACCATTCTAATAGGTGTGTAGTGTGGTATCTTGTTGTTTTCATTTGCAGTTCTTCAGTGACACATAACATTGGTCCCCTTTTCATATGCTTATTCGTCATCCATATATCTTCTTTGGTAAAATGTCTTCTGACCTTCTGCCCATTTTTAAATTGGAGTGTTTGTCTTATTGTTCAGTTTTAAGAGTTCTTTGTATATTTTAGATACAGGTTCTTTAGCAGATATGTATTTTACAGGTATTTTCTCCCAGTCTGTGGCTAGTCTTTTCATTACTTAACTGTCTTTCATGAAACACAAGTTTTTAATTTTAATAAAGTCCAACTCATCAATTTTTTCTTTCACAGATCATGTTTTTGGCATTATATTTAAAACCTCACTGCCAAACCCAAGGTCACCTAAGTTTTCCTCTAAGTTATCTTCCAATAGTTATAGTTTTGTTTTTTACATATAGGTTTATAACCCGTTTTGAGTTAATTTTTGTGAAAGTATAAAATCTGTGCCTAGAATAATTTTTTTTGCATGTGGCTGTCTAGTTGTTCTAGCACCAACTTGTTAGAAAGACTATCTTTCTCAATAAATTGCCTCTGCTACTTTGTTGAAGATTGCCTCTGTTTATGTGAGTCTATTTCTGGCCTCTTTATTTTGTTCCATTGATCTGTTATGTCTTTTCATTTGGAACACCACACTGTCTTGAATAATGTAGCTTTGTAGTAAGTCTTGGAAGTCAGGTAGTGTCATTTCTCTGACTTTTTTCTTCATTATTGTGGTAGCTATTCTGAGCCTTTTGTTTCCTTATAGAATTAGTTTGTCAGTACTCATAAAATAACACTGAGATTTTTATTGGGATTACATTGACTGTAGATCAAGCTGGGAAGAACTGACATCTTAACAATGTTAAGTCTTCCTATCCTTGAACATGGAATATCTCTATTTAGAGCTTCTTTGATTTCTATTATCAAAGTTTTATAGTTTTCTTCATTTAGATCCTGTGTACATTTTCTTAGAATTATACCTAAGAATCTTTTTTTTTTTCTTTTGGTGCTAATGCAAATGGTTGGTATTATGTTTTAAATTTTAAATCTCAGTTGTTTATTTTTGGAATTTAGGAAATCAGTTGACTTTTGTATTATTTACTTTGTATCTTGCAGCCTTGCTATAATTACTTATTAGTTCCAGGAAGCTTTTGGTCAATTCTTTGGGATTTTCTACATAGACAGTCATGACCTCTGTGAACACAGATAGTTTCATTTCTTCCTTCCCAATCCTACTTTTACATTAGCTAGGACTTCCAGTATGATGGTGAATGGGAGTAGTAAGAGAAGACAGACATCCTTGCATTGTTCCTGATCTTAGGGGAAAGATCTAGTTTCTCAGCAGTAAGTATATTAGCTATAGGTTTTCTGTAGTTGTTTTTTATTAAGTTGAGGAAGTTCTCTAATCCTAGTTTGGTGAGAGTTTTTATCAGAATGCATGACAGAGTTTGCCACATGCTTTTTCTGTATCTATTGATATGATCATATGATTTTTTTCTTTAGTCTCTTAATGTGATTGATTACATTAATTGATTTTCAAGTGTTGAAACCCAGCCTTGCATACATGCGATAAATCCCAGTTGGTCATGGTGTATAATTCTTATACATTATTGGATTCAATGTGCTAATACTTTATTGAGGATTTTCGCATCTATGTTCATGAGAGATCTTGATCTGTAATTTTTCTTTCTTATAATGTCTTTTTTGGTTTTGGTATTAGGGTGATGTTGGTCTCATAGAATGTGTTAGGAAGTATTTCCTCTGCCTCTATTTTCTAGAAGGATTGTAGAGAATTGGTATCATTTCTTCCTTAAATATTTGATAGATTTCACCAGTAAAACCATCTGAGCCTGGTACTTTCTTTTTCAAAAGGTTATTAATTATTGATTCAATTTCTTTAATAGATACATACCTACTCAGATTACCTATTTCTTCTGTGTGAGTTTTGGTAGTGTCATTCAAGAAATTGGTCTACTACATGTAAGTTATCAAATTTATAGTCCTAGAGTTGTTCACAATATTCTTTTATTATTCTTTTAAATATACATGGGACCAATAGTGATGATCCTTTTTTATTTCTGATATTAATAATTTGTCTTTCCCTTTTTTCTTTGTCTGGAGTTTGATCAATTTCATTGCTCTTTTCAAAGAACCAGCTTTTTGGCTTTGTTGATTTTCTCTATTGAGTTCTTAATTTCAATTTCACAAATTTCTGCTCTAATTATTAATATTTCTTTCCTTCTTGTTTTAGGTCTATCTTGTTTTTTTCTAAGGTAGAAGCGTAAATTATTGATTTTAGATCTTTCTTCTTTTCTAATATATATATTCTATGCTACAGATTTCTCTCTAAGCATTGCTTTCACTGCATCCCACAAATTTTGATAAGTTGTATTTCATTTTCATTTAGGGAAAAATATTTTTTTATTTCTCAAGGCTGCTTCTTTGATCCATGTGTTAACATAGAATTATGTCATTTAATATACAAGTATTTCCTAGCTATCTTTCCATTATTAATTTCTAGTTTAAGTCCATTGCAATCTGAGACCATATTATATATGATTTCTATTCTTTTAAATTTATTAAGATGTATTTTTAGAGAAGAATGTGAGCTATCTGGGTGAATGTTCTGTGCAAGCTTAAGAAGAATGTTTATTCTGCTATTACTGGATGAAGTATTCTATAAATGTCTCTTATATTCAGTTGATTGATAGTGCAGTTCAGATCATCTTTATTCTTATTGATCTGACTGCTGGATGTGTCAATTGTTGAAAAAAGTATGTTGAAGCCTCCGCTATAATAGTGGATTTGTCTGTCTCTCCTTAAAGTTTTATCAATTTTTGAATTTTTGCCTCACTTATTTTGGTTTCTTTTGTTAGCTACATACATGTTCAAGATTGTTATGTCTTATTGTAGAATTGACCCTTTTATCATTATGTAATATCCCTTTTTATCCCTGATAATTTTCCTAGTTCTGAAGTTTGCTTTATGTGAAACTAATATAGCTACTCCAGTTTTCTTTTTCTTGGTGTTAGCAAAGTATATCTTCCTGTATTGCTTTACTTTTAATCTATGTCCTTATATTTAAAATTGGTTTCTTGCGGGCAACATGTAATTGGGTCTTCTTTTTATCTTCCCTTCTTTTTCTACCTTTTCTGGTTTTAATTGAGCATTTTATGATTTTCTATTTTCTTTCCTCTCAGCATATCAATTATACTTGTTTTTAAAAAAATTTTAGTGGTTGCCCCAAAGTATGTATTATACATTTACAACTAATCTAAGTCCTCTTTCAAGTAATTCAATACTACTTCACAGATAGTATAAGTGGGTACCTTTATCAGAGTATTCCTAATTCCTCTCCCCTGTTACTTATAACATTGCTGTCATTCATTTCATTATCCATAAGCTATAACCACCCAATATATTGTTGCTATTATTATTTAAAACAGTTATCTATTCAGTTAAGAATAGGAACGTAAAAGAGTTTATTTTACTTATTCTTCTCTGATCTTCCTTTCTTTATATAGATCTGAATTTCTGACCTATATAATTTTTCTTCTCTCTGAAAAACTTCTTTTATCATTTCTTGCAAGGCAAGTCTGCTCTCAACAAATTCCCTTAGTTTTTATTTGTCTGAGAAGGCATTTCTCCTTCACTTTTTAAAAAAGTTATTTAATTGTTTACTGTTTACTTATAAATCAAATTACCACTCACTAGTTTCAAGTGTTAAATCATTCTGGAATTCTTATTTTAAGAAACAGCCCATTTATAGCTGTTTTTCTCATAGAAACACTCTCATCATTTGCCACTTCCTTTTTATTTAAATTTTTTTTCCTGAGTGCTGCTACCTGTATTTCAGCTTTTTCTCTAGCCCTCTTTTGCCTGAGCCCTACATTTGTCTCATGTTAGTAGAGGTAATGGCTCCCTTAAGTCAGTCATCTGGTATCAAATTTTGATCATAGTTTTTATTCCTTCTGATGTACTGTTTACATGGGACTATTCCTGGGTTAACTTTTTTGGGGGGCGGGGGTTAACTTTTTAAATAAGTCTTTCTGTATAGGTGTGGTAAAATATATATAACATAAAATTTATCATTTTAACCATTTTTAACTATACGATTAAGTGGCTTTAAGTATATTCACATTGTGAATCATCACTTATCCATTATCCATTTCTATCACCATTATCCGTTTCCAGAACTTTTTCATAATCCCAAACAGAAACTCTGTACTCCTTAAGCAATAACTTCCCATTCTCCCTCCCACCAACCCCTGGTAGCCTCAATTCTACTTTCTGTGTCTATGAACTTACCTATTCTAGGTAATTCATATAAATACAGTCATACAATATTTGTCCTTTTGTTTCTGGCTTATTTCATTTAGCATAATGTCATCAAGGTTTCTCTGTGGTATAGCATATATCAGAATTTTTTCCCCTTTTTTGTGGCAAAACATATATAACAATTTACCATGTTAACGAGTGTACAGTTCAGTGGCATTAAGTACATTCACATTGTTGTACAGCTGTCACCACCATCCATCTCCTGAACTTTTTCATCATCCCTGAAATTCTGTACCTATTAAATAATAACTCCCCATCTCTCCCTCATCTTAGGCAACTACCATTCTACTTTCTGTCTCTGAATTTGACTGTTCTAGGTACCCTATATTAATGAATCATGCAGTATTTGTCCTTTTGTGACTAGCTTATTTCATTTTACATAGTGTTCTCAATAGGAGGGATCAATAAACGTTATGTTTATCAATGTCTTAGTGTGTTTCAGAATTTTTTCACTTTTTAAAGCTGAATAATATTCCATTGCATGTGTATACCACATATTGTTTATATAGTCATCAGTGGACCTTGGATTACTTCCACCTTTGGACTGTTGTAAATAATGCTTCTTTGAACATGGGTATACAGCTATTCCATTCCTTCCTTTCACTTCTTTTGGGTATACTCCCAGAAGTAAAATTGCTGGATTCTTTTATATAATTCTGTTTAATTTTTTTAGCAGTTGCCATACTATTTTTCACAGCAGCTACCATTTTGCATTCCCGCTAGCAGTGTACAAGTGTTCCAGTTTCTCCACATCCTCACCAACACTTCTTATTTTCTATTTTTTTTATAATAACCATTCCAATGGGTATGAAGTGGTATGTTGTGGTTTTGGTTTGCATTTCCCTAATGATTAATGATATGGAACATTGTTTCATGTGTTTATTGGCCATTCGTATATCTTCAGAGAACTGCAAATTCAAGTCCTTTGGCCACTTTTTAATTGGATTATTTGTTTTGTTCTTGTTGAGTTATAGGAGTTGCTGGGTTTTTTTTTTTTTTGTCGTTCTTTGTGTTTTTCAACATTCACATTTTTATTGGGGGCCACGGGGGAGGGGGCTTTCTCTCTGTCAGTGGAGGTGCTCACAGTTTCTTCAGCCACTCCAAGTTTGGGCTCTGAGGATCCAAAGGGTGGCTGGGCACATGGGGCATGTTCTCATCATCTCAGACAGGCACTAGGTAGTTGTAGGGTGTGACCTGGTTGATCATGGTGGCGTACTGGGTATAGGGGCTAAGGGAGGGCAGTGAGGCCCTTAGTAGCGGATGATGCAGCCAGCACCAGCTCATTGGCCCAGGCATTCTTGAAGGAGGCAGTGAGTCTCCCAGCCATCTTGGTCACCTAGGAGTTACTGTTTAATTGTTCCTACTAGTACTGACTTCATCACCTTCTACTTCTAATAAGCTCACCTTGGCTGTGATTCGATGTATTCACTTGTTTGGAGGTGTCGGTTTGTTCTGTGACCTCAGTTCTCTCATAAATCTAAGAAAAGTCATTGATTTTCAGTTTATTCAGCTTTTGCCTTATTGTAAAGACACGTGTGATGACTTGCAAGCCTTTTACATGTTGGAGCTAAAACCAACATCCAGGGTGGTCTTTTTAAAATATAAGCCTGTTTTAATCTCCTTTCTTATCACCCCCACTTCAATAGTGTGTCATTGTGCAATTGATAAAATTGATATTTAAGCTGATCTTCCAAGGGTTTCCATAGTCAAATTCATGACTTCCTACCTCTTCAGGATTCATCTCACTTTATGCTCTTTTTTCCCATAGGACCTCTTTCTTCTTCCTGTATTGCTTCTCATAACCCGCTTTCCACCCTTCACCAAGCAAATTCACATTCTTGTGAATTTTAATTCAGTCATCCCTTCCTTGCGGAAGCTTTGCCTGACGACTTTGACAAGGTCTAATTCTCCACTTTTATTGGTTTAAAGCACCTTGTACCTTTTTTATGTTGCTTTCATGGTTATGTTCAGTGTAAGAGGTTATTTAATTAATGCCTATTTCTCAGACTACACTATAAGCTCTGTGAGGGCAGAAACAGTGTCTCTATTGACTCACTATTGTGTATCCAGAGCCTTGCACAGTACTAGCGTATATTAGGTGCACATTAAATATGTGTTGAATGAATGAATAAACCTTTAAGGAAGTCAACTTGTTATTATCTATAAAAGTTAAATATATGTACACTTTGACCCCTCAATTCTGTTTGTAGAAATTTATCCAGAAGCTATAGTTACACAACCAAACAAAAATAAATATACAAGGATATTATTCATAGCATCGTTTGAAATAATGAAAACCAGAACAAGCTAAAAATATGCCAGTATATGACTAGTTAGATACTTTATAGCATTTAAAAACAGAGTAACTGCTGTTATAAATAATAAGGGCAATCTATATATTGAGATTCAGAACATACTGTATTATTAAGTGAAAATGATAAGTTGCAAAATAGACTGTATAGTATGTTCTCAATTTTGATTTTACAATATTTTCCATGTGTTTTATATATAAGAAGTTATTTACACTGAACTCTTTATGGTAGTTATAACAGCAGAGAGAGGGAAAGGAAAAGGGGCCTTTTATTCTTTATACTATAATACCTCTATTTTTAAATTAAAGGTTTGAAATAGGATTGAAATCTGTAAGTATACCAGGATTAAAACTGCATTAAAATAATATAAGTGAAAAAATTACTAAGAGTACAATAAAATGCTAACAAGGGATTATTTATGGTATTTTTATCTTTATGGTTTTTTAGTTATTGTGGTTATACTATTTTTGTGATGATAAAAATATACTTTCTTATACAAAGAAAGAAAACAACTGAAAAAATTATCACTAAATATTTAAGCTAATCTTCTAGGCAGTATACTTGAAATTTTAATAGCATTGTTTTGGTATTGGTGTAATTTTTGGTGCCCTGAATACAATGATATATTTCAAGGAGAGAACACAGTAGGTTAATTTTCAGTAAAGTTTGTCCTTTTTTCTAACTAGAGGTATTTGTATTTGTTCCATAGCGGAGGTGAAACGTGTAGGAGATACACTTTTGGGTATGGCTACACAGTGTGTTCAAGTCAAGAATGTAATAAAAACATCCCCTCAAACTCTCTCAAACCTGTGCCTAAAGATAAATGTTAAACTCGGAGGGATCAATAATATTCTTGTACCTCATCAAAGGTAAGATAAACTAATCACTTAAAAAACTGATTTTTCATATCTTAATTTTCATTGCCATATCCAAGATCTGTTTAAGAAACAGCTTTGATGATTCCTACTATGGGAGGTAAGTAGATATTTTGGCAAAAAATTAAGAGTTTGGGTTGGCAAGATTAAGAGATTTCCTTGTAAAAATCCCCTCCTACCTCCACTTTCATTTAATATGCAAAATTCCTCTTGCCTAGCTAGAAAGTTTTGAGAGCTTTGTTTATTTTTCATTGGAGAACCGAGCTTGAAGAATTTTCTCATTATTTGATGTCATCTTCAGCCTAATATCATGAGGCTACTTACCAAGAAAATGAGGGAAGAAAGGAAGGTTGGGGGTGGGGCATGTCAATTCAGTAAATCAGTTAAGTAAGCCGTTATCAACCCCTGCTTCAGTTCAGTGGAACAGCAGATGGTACTGTTGGATTGCCATCATGTCTAAGAACTCTTAGGTTGTATGAGATATAAATTATCTATGAAACAGGCACTGGGAAGAGGCTGTTATTGGGAGAATTAAACAACAGGTTTTCTTTAAATAGTTGATGCAACAAGGGCCTTAAAAAGTGAAATATCTTGTCCAGTATGCACCACAGATAAGCATTACAATAAGTAATGCTTATTTGTGTATGTTTGACACAAAAGGTTTTTTTTTTTTCCTGTTTTTCCTTGTTGCCTCTACTTCCTATCTCTATTAGATAAGAGATTCAAAAATGAGGTAAATATAGAATTTTATCCACAAGCCCAAGAACTAAGAAATAGCCATTTGAATCTTAAAACATACAGTTTTGGAAATAAAATGAACTACTAGCTACTTTATGACTATTAAATATATGTTACTCAAATTTATACTTTTGGCCAAGGGAGGAAGAAGTAAGTAGTCGACTGTCATAATCCCTTTCATTTTAAGGTGTAATGATGCTTTTTCTCCTTGAAGGATTCTATCAGTTTAAAATGTAAGTAGGTTAAAGAAAGATTGATACAAATTTGTGGATTAATATGAGAAAGTTTAGCATTTTATGCCTATTATGAAGAATGCTAGCAGCAGTTGCCCTTTGCAGCCACCGTCACCACTATTTAAGGCAGAACACTGCTCTAGATAAGACATTGGGTAGACCCATTGTGACAGCTTTTACTTCACTGACCAGGGATTCATAATTAAGAGAATAAAGCTGTCAGTATTTCAGGCCTATGAAGCTGTCTATATAGGACTGCCTCTGTGCTATTTCATCAACTTGCAGTGTATTGCAGTATTATGAAACAGATAAATGGATAGTGAAAAAAATGAATTATCTAACTCTTTTAAAAATGTGTTTAAGACCATCTGTGTTCCAGCAACCAGTGATCTTTTTGGGAGCAGATGTCACTCATCCACCAGCTGGTGATGGGAAGAAGCCTTCTATTGCTGCTGTAAGTGTCATAAGGCAGGTTTATCTTATCTAAAGTTTAGACAAAGATGTGCATTTTGGTTTCAACTTTTTGAATTTTAATGATATTTTCTTTGAAACCAACTTTTATAAATATAGTAAGATTTTGGTAGAACACAAATATAAATGAAAATCATGTACTTTTTTTCAAATTTTTTTTTATTGTGGTAAATTCTTATTCATGTTGTTTTGATTATCTGAATTTCTGTTTTTCTTTACTTTTCCAACTTAGGTTGTAGGTAGTATGGACGCCCACCCAAGCAGATACTGTGCCACAGTAAGAGTTCAGAGACCCCGACAGGAGATCATCCAGGACTTGGCCTCCATGGTCCGAGAACTTCTCATTCAATTTTATAAGTCAACTCGGTTCAAACCTACTCGTATCATCTTTTATCGGGATGGTGTTTCAGAGGGACAGTTTCGGCAGGTTGGTTGCTTGGGATCTCATCATGTTGTGGTTAAATCAGATACTGTGTTTAAAATATGGTGTCTAGTTCTGAACTTAGAAGCCTTAATTAAGTTGAGAGTTCTTAAATTCAAATTTGATGCTTCCTAAGATTTTTCCCTTTTAAAATGTTTATGATGGATGTATGAGCCTTGATTGCTGAGACCATGCTCTGATAATAGTTAAGATGGAATAGCGGTATATTTAGTTATAAAGTGATAAGATTAAGAAATACTGAGACCAAATAATTAACTTAAGTTGAAGTATGTATAAGAGAATAGTTGACTATACCAAATCTTTCCATTTCACCTTCTCTAGGTGTTATATTATGAACTACTAGCAATTCGAGAAGCCTGCATCAGTTTGGAGAAAGATTATCAACCTGGAATAACTTACATTGTAGTTCAGAAGAGACATCACACTCGATTATTTTGTGCTGACAGGACAGAAAGGGTAATCTTATATCTGTTGTCATATCATTATAAGCCAAGCTTATCTCATAGTTCATAGAGCACTTAACAAAGGCTCTCTGCCAACAGCAGAGTTTTTAATATATAGTGGCATGTTTCAACAAAGCAGATTATGAGTATAGAAGTATCAAAATAGGTTATTACTTTTAAACTTTCTGGAATTTCATGTTTAAAATCCTGTTAATGCTTTTTGTTGATATTAAGAAACTCATAATTTTAAAATTGTTCTTTCTATTCATACTTTCCGTAAATGTTCAAAAGAAAAAAGATATATTCTTTTCTTTAAATATTGTGTAAAAATTAGTTTTTTAAAAAAGCTAAGGACTTTCTAGAGTGATTGGTGAAAATTCATGCAAACTAACTTTTAAACAATACTTTCTTTAAAATTCACAGAATTTTTTTTCTGTATTTTATAATGTGAATGTGTATTTTTATAATTAGGAAGAGGAAGGAGGTATAAATACCAAGGGAAATATATTTTCTTGTCTGTGTGCAAAATAGGCAAGTAGCAGTCTCACCATCATATCCAGTACCCCGCCTCCAATCCTGCAAGCCTTAGAGCAGGGAAATCTGAGGATTTCAATGTCAATGTCTCATTGGGAAAGGGGTTCAATATAAAAGACTGAGAGATGGGGTATGTCTTATTTTTAGTGTATATTTAGTGTTTGGTTACACTCACTGTGTAACTTTGGGCAAATAACATCTCTGTGCCTGTTTCTCAGCAAGGTTTGGATCATATTAATATTTACCTTATTTGGGTTGGTAAGAAGATTAAATAAATTAAAATACATAATGCACTTAGAACAATTCTTGGCACATCCTCAGTACTCAATAAAGGTTAGCTAGTTTTAGTGAGATGATGGTGGTAATAATAGAGAAAAAGAAATAATAATAGTCATTGTTCTAGGTATTTTTTTATAAATTGAACTCATTTGATCTTCACAAACAACACTATGAGGTACTTACTATTATCCCCATTTCCACGGGAGAAAACTGTGGCACATGGAAATTAAATTACTTCCCATGGTTACAAAGCTAATAATTGGTAGCACTAGGACTCAGTTCAGGCAATCTGGCTCCAGAGTGCTCTTAAACACTGTCCTACACCACCTCTCTGATAGCATTGGTGATAGGTTTTTTTTTTTTTATGGCCTCCAGGTTGTTAAAGGCCTTTGACCCTAAATTACTAGGTACATTTCGGCACCTAGAAAACCGAACTTTTCTTCCAAAAGTAAGATTAGGAAAACCTAAGTTAGATTTAATGATTACTAGCACCTGATGTTTAGTCATGCCAGTCTTCCATTTGTTTGCCTCTCTTTCAGCTTTGCTCTAAATACTGCTACCAGTAATAAATTAGAGCTCATTATAATGGAGGAAACAGAAGCAGAGAGGTAAAATACCATCCCCTAGATCACACAACTAGAAACTGTGATATCAACCCAGGCATTCTGCTATCTCTCTAAATAGAGTAAAACTACATATGTATTAATTAGATTTCTGTGTGTGGATAGGCATAATTTAGCAGATTATGAACAATTTGTTTTCTTTCTTTTGTACTTGGTGAAGGCTAGCTGGTTGGTCTACACAGCTGTAATTCAAGCGATTTCCTGATAGCAGTCCCTCACATGGCAGAAATAATGTCTAAGTCAATAAAGTAGTTTCTAATTTGCTCGCCTTGTAAACTTAGACTTATAGTTAATGATTTCAAATGTGTTAGGGATAAGGAGATGGAGGTGAGTATATAGATGCATCTTAAAATGTTCTAGGAGCCTTTCGTTAGTTTGAATCATTTCATTCACATATCTGCTCAGAGAAGATTATAGTGTATTTCCTTAAAAGATGTTGAAACTGCTAGTGTGAAATAAAAGGAATAGGGACTTTGCAGTCATTGCCATGTTTGACTCTCAGTTTTGCCCATTATTGTATGCTAGTGGGCGTATTGTTTCATATTCCTGAGCCTTAGTTTCCCCAAAACAAATAGGAATAATACCTAGCTTGCAGGATTATCCAGATTTGAAATACTGTATGTAAAGTACCTGACACATAAATGGTGACTATTATTGATGTTGTCAGCATTCTTTCTCTCTAAAAATATAGTGTTATCTAAGGAAAATGTTAATTTTCATAAATTACACAATCAAGAGTACCTGCTGTGCACAGGTACCATAAATTAGAGCACCTAAAGTAACTTGAAAAAACATTCTTTTTAAGTCTTCCACCCATATTGGTGTCAACTACCAGCTAAGCATCAGAAGAGACTAAAAATAAGAACTCTGTTGTTTATCAGCTCTCATGTACAGCAACATTAAGAATAGGGACCAGAACTAGAATAAGATCAGCTCATAATGCCTGCTTAAGTAATATTTCAAGCTGAAAGAAGTGAATCATGGGATCAGCCTATGTAGTTATACATTTTTAAAAGTGCTTTCAGATGCATTCTTTATATTTGTCTTGTTTGTTTAAACTTTGACAAAACAAATCTAGGTTGGAAGGAGTGGCAATATCCCAGCTGGAACAACAGTTGATACAGACATTACACACCCATATGAGTTTGATTTTTACCTCTGTAGCCATGCTGGAATACAGGTAAGCCTACGCTCTGGGTGAAATGTTTTAATTCAGGAACTTCCACTAATATGTATATTTTTTAAATCTCAGAAAAAGAAATACTTTTCTTTGCACTCCAAATTGTTTCCACATGAAATTAGATGAATTTCAGTAAATAAATTTCTTCCCCTGCCTTACTTTGACAGGGGTTTATTCCTATGAAAATACCAGAATATAAATAGTTTAGTAGAAGGACTCTCTCTAAACTGGGTCCTTAACCCAAAACTTCAAAAAAATTTTAAATACCTGATTGTTCCTTTGACATATGCTTCTTTTTTATGGTACTACTTCATGGAAAACTTTGACATTTATTGAACATGTAAAAGAGTTTAATTGTGGAATTATAGCTTTAAGTTACATAATTTTAAGAGTCTTTTTTTTCTTTTCAGAAAATCTTTTTGCTAATTCGTTAGCTATACTTAGAACATGAGCTTTAATTGAATGCTTCCTAAACGTTCCAGCAGCAGAGAATGAATCCATATTCCTAAGATGTCTGAGAGAATGTCATCCAAAACTGTTTTAGGCCACTTGCCAATGATGAAATAGAAATTTCAGGAAGATGTACCTTACTGTACGGCTGTATCTTAAAGCTTTATTTCTTAATTTATTTTCTTTATTTATTATTATTTATGCCTTCAGCAGCTGGTCTTCCATCCAAGTGCTAACCAGGCCCAACCCTGCTTAGCTTCCGAGATCAGACATTGGGCTTGTTCAGGGTGGTATGGCCGTAGACAGAATCTTAAAGCTTTATATTCATACACTTCACATACAGTAACCCCAGTTTCACTCTTACAGCTTTTAAATTATTGTCCCACACATTTATCTATGTTCTTATATCTGCTCCCCTTTACAGTCAGTGTTACACATTTTCATGGGGGTAGTCACTTAGCAAAACAAAATTTAAAAGACCTAGAGATAAAATCTATGTCATTGGAGTATATATTTAAACCTAGCATTTACCTCCATGTAGCCCAAGGAACACTACTGCTCTGACTTTTTAATAAATATTACAGAGGAGAAAAAAAATTCTCTGTTCAAATAAATTTTGGAAATTCTGGTTAAACAGATTTTTTTCTCTAGAACTTTTGGATACCACTGATATGCAGATGGTCATTATGAATCTTTAAAAAAATGACTATTTCCCCCAATGTATTTAGCCATTTAATTCTATTTATAGCCTAATTTCTGGTGGTTTTATTTATATATTATCTGTCTCGTCTCTGGAATACATGTCTTATTCATTACTGTGTGCCTGGCACCTGATACAAGACATGGCCTATATTAAATGTTCAGTAAATATTGAATGTGTGAATATTATTATATATGCATTATATGCATTATATATATGCATTATAAACATATAATTTGGGAGAGGTAGATTTGATAATAATTTGAATTTTATCCCCGGAATCTTAACACAGTGTCTGACAGATGATACTCAAATATTTTTTAAAGTATGAGTTAATCTTTCTTCTTTGCCACTACCATTTCCTTAGTTCATGCTTTTATCTAACACCAGAACTAATGCATCAGCCTCCCGACTACTCCTTTTGCTTTCAGTTTCTTTCTGTTTCTAATCCATCCTCCATATTATTGCTGGTGTTTCTTTTACAAAATTCCAACCTCATCACGCCTAAAAAAATCTCGTTTAAAAAAAAAAAATTGATCATTGTTTTCCAAATTCCTAAACATGTCATTCAGTGTGATTCTAAACTTTGTTTTCAGCTTCGTCTTTTCCACCTCATGTACCATACTCTATTCATACTAGTCTATTAGCTATTCTCCAAATACGCCATTAAACATTAAGCACCTTGTGCTTTTGTTAAGGTGGTTCATTCTCTCTAGAGTCTCCTCACCTTAACCTCCCAAAAATGGCCAGATCTCACTCATTCCCCACTCAGTAAAGAACCAAGACTTACCCCCACAATTACTTCCTTCAGTATGCTTCATTTATTAGTTGTTTTATAATTATAGGTGCTCTAGCACCTCTACTCCTCTACAAATTATGTTTTCCAGAAGATAAGAAACTTTTGACTTTGTTTTCCTTTGAATGTGTAATACCTAACATAGTAACTAATACATAAGAGCTCAAGTACTTGTTCTGGTGTTTTTATATGGTAAAATATACATAACATATAACTTAGCATTTTAACTGTTTTTAAGTGTACAGTTCCATCACATTATATATATTCACATTATTATGCAGACATACCACCATTTATCTTCAGAACGTTTTCATCTTCCCTGACACACTGTACCCTTTAAACACTAACTCCCCATTCCCTCCTTCTCTCAGCCTCTGGTAACCACCATTCTACTTTCTGTCTATAAATTTAACTATTCCAGGTACCTTATATAAGTGAATTGTATAATATTTGTCTTTTTTGTAACTGGTTTATTTCATTTAGCATGTCATCAAGGTTCATCCATGTTGTAGTATGTGTCAGACTTTTCTTTCTTTTTAAGGCTGAATATTCCATTGTATGTATAGACCATGTATTGTTTATCCATTCATCCATCAATGAATACTTGGGTTGCTTCCACCTTTTGGATATTGCGAATTGAACACAGGTGTGCAAATATCTGTTCAAGTCCCTGCTTTCACTTCTTTTGGCTATATGCCCAGAATCAACTAAATGGTTTTTTTTAATCTATTATCAATTAGAATATGTTTCACTAATGTACGAAGCTGGCTTTTTATATAACTTAGTCTGTGATGAATATTTATTTAAAAGTTTAGAAATCAACAGAATGTGTCACTGCCTTCTCTATAGGGTACCAGCCGTCCTTCACACTATCATGTTTTATGGGATGATAACTGCTTTAATGCAGATGAACTTCAGCTGCTAACTTACCAGCTCTGCCACACTTATGTGCGCTGTACACGATCTGTTTCTATACCTGCACCAGCGTATTATGCTCACCTGGTGGCATTCAGAGCCAGATATCATCTCGTAGACAAAGAACATGACAGGTAATATAAAAGCTGTATAACAGATACAGATTCTCACCCAAATCCAAATATGGCCTGCATGTAGGATTTTCTTGGGAAATTTCTTTAAATGTTTCCAATGTAAGTATGTGCCTCTCTGTTTGCCATAAACTACTGCCATTTAAAATTCCACAAGCTATTAGAGGAGTCAATGATCCGTGTGAAAAACAATGATAATCAGAACTGAGTGCCCAAGATAAGGGTTCCCATTAAAATGTGCAGTCTAGGCTTATTAGCATGATATATTAGCTTATAGCATGATCTAGTGATTTAATTGCTTTACCAAATGAACTCAAGAGAGAGATTATTGATAATAAAAATGATATATATTTTGATAAAATTATAATATGTCTGGGATTTGCTTCTAAATAATCCTGGACAGGTGAGAGAAGTAAAATTGGCCTTGAGTTAATTATTGAAGCTGGGTGAATTCCTACATTATATCAGCCTCTATTTTTTAAAATATTTTTGAAATTTTCTACAACAAATATTTTTCAGAATTATTGCATCAGAATAGGGTTTGTTTTTATGTTCATTGCCAATTTTCTTTTAAGTAATTTTTTATTTTTCAATTACAGTTGATATACAATATTAAATTAGTTTCAGGTATGCAGCATAGTGGTTAGACATTTATATACATTATGAAGTGATCACCCTGATAAATCTAGTATCCATCTGACACCATACATAGTTTTTACAATATTGACTATATTCCTTATGCTGTATTTTACATCTCCATGACTATTTGTAACTACTAATTTGTACTTCTTAATCCCTTCTTTGTCACTCATCTGCCAACACCCCTCCCATCTGGCAACCGTCAAAATGTTCTCTGTATCTATGAGTTTGCTTCTGTATTGTTTATTTGTTTTGTTCTTTAGATTCTACATATAAGTGAAATTATATGCCATTTGCCTTTTGCTGTCTGACTTACTCCACTCAGCATAATACCCTCTAGGTCCATCCGTGTCATTGCAGAAGGCAAGATTTCATTCTTTTTTGTGGCTGAGTAAATTCCATTGTATATATGTACCACCTCTTTATTTATCCATTTATCCATTGATGGACACCCAGGCTGCCTCCATATCTTGGCTGTTGTAATTAATGCTGTGATTAACATATGGGTTGCACATGTCCCTTCAAAATAGTGTTTTGAGCTTTTTCAGATAAATACCCAGAAGTGGGTTTACTGGGTTCTTTTTCGACTCTTTTTATAGCCTTTGTTTTAAACTGGTATAAGTATTGCTACCCCAGCTTTTTTTTTTTTTTTTTCATTTTCATGAAGTATCTTTTTCCATCCCTTTACTTTCAGTCTGTGTATGTCTTTCGATCTGGAGTGTCTCTTGTAAGCAACATATATAAAGGTCTTGTTTTCTTATCCATTCAGCCACCCTGTGTCTTTTGATTGGAGCATTTAATCCATTTACATATAAAGTAATTGTTGATAGATATGTAGTCATTGCCATTTTATTCATAGTTTTTATCTTTTTTTTTTTTTTTCTGAAAGTAGTCAGTCCCTTTAACATTTCTTCTAATACTGGTTTGGTGGTGATTAACTCACTTAGCTTTTTTTGTCTGGGAAGCTCTTTATCTGTCCTTCGATTCTAATTGTTAGCTTTTCTGGGTAGAGTAATCTCAGTCGAAGGTCCTTGCTTTTTCATTATCAATTCTCTTACAGTGCTGAAGGAAGTCACGTTTCAGGACAGAGCAATGGGCGAGATCCACAAGCTCTTGCCAAGGCTGTACAGATTCACCAAGATACCTTACGCACAATGTACTTTGCTTAAAAAGTCCAAGATTATTCTCTGAGAGGAAGAACTGAAAGATGAATCGACATACAACGTGTTTCCAGTGGAGTTCGTTGAGTGGGGATGCCTGCAGCCATACAGAAACCAACACTGTGGGGACCAGGGTCTGATTTTTATGTTGATACAAGTAAGATTGTTTACTTCATCAAGGAACACAGCACTATTATGCAATATGAAACCAGCCAACAGCGCTTTTGTGCGGTCTCCTGTAGGAAGTATCGCCAATGTTTTGTTTTCACTTTCTTTGTAGTCTAACCCTTTTAATGCCTTTACCTCAAGTTGCTTGGCAGCACAACTATCTTTGCAAAAAAAAAAAAAAGTAAAGAAAAGGTAAATGATGGTTTAAAAAAAAACACCTACATGAATAATCAGTGATTGTTCACAATTGTGTGTGCAAAAAAATTAATGTGCATTCATGTATTGTAAAAGGTATCTGTATATTTTAAATATATACATATATACTTCATATGCATATATATCTGGATCTACATTTATAATAGATATATATGTTCTTTGTATATATTTTATAGTTCATTCCATTGGGGAACTTCCTTTCCCTTTTATTATCCTCCCACCACCACTTTTATTTCTCTCTCTACCTCCCTTGCCTTCATCGCCTACATTTTTTTCCCCTGATGCTACCAGTGACATTCAAATGTTCATGTATCTGGTTCATTTGAATATGAAGCATGGCAAACTAGACTTTTTTGTTTTGTTTTGCACACCCTCTCCTGTCTCTTGTCTCATACACAATTCTGAGCCCTCAACTCGATATTGCTTTCTTAAGAAACAAAATTATTTTATATATATATGGTTTTATGAGAGTTTGTGTTTGCCCCCTCCAAATTTACATTTGCCATTTGTGCAATGTGTACATAAGCAGTAGCAACCTAAACTATTCTTTTTCTTTAGTGAGTTTGTTAAAGCTGCTATAAATATAAAACCTTGTCAAAAGTTTAACTCTTTCTCTCTATAAGTGATGTGTATTCTAAAGCCTTTTGTTTCTATGGGTTATACATGGAAATCTCTAAAAGCTTTTATGAAGAGTAAATATTTTAAATGATTAGAACAAAATAGGGTTGAGGCCTCTGAAGTTGGGTCAAGAGAGAAGGGATTGTTGAGGTATTTTTAATTTTTTTTTTTTTTTTTTTTTGCTAGTTTACTTGCTGCCTCTCATACCTTAATGTGCTTTTCATATATATATTTTTATATATATGTTTGTATATATATAAACATATATGTATGTGTTTTGAAGTATAGCTTCCTTTTCTTTTCTATTTATTAGAATAGTGTTTTAATAATTATAGAACCATATTGGCAACATCTTTTATAGAAATAATCATGTTTATTTTAAGAACTGACAACTTGTTTTTGCTATCTTTTAGTGCAATAAGCAGTTTTAAAGGAAAGCTGTGTCTGTTTGATGTTTTTATCACAGATAGTGGAAGAAACAGGCACCTTCATAATTTTAAAAGGGCAAAGTAATACAGCCTTAATTTCAGAAGGAAAGTTTTGTAATTTTCAAGTCTCAAGCATGTCTTTAAAAATCATAATGAAAATGAAGGAAGTTAATATCCTAGATAAGTCTGACCTTGAATATTAAAAATAAAGTTGAATTTTGATTTAAGATATGACCACGATAGATGAAAATTTATAAAGTATTTAAATTTTTTGAAAATAAATTATGTTTATTGAAGAATCATACTGGTTACATTCCCATTTTCATTGACTAAAATTAATCAGGAAAATGTGGCCATTTAAACTTTTTTTTTTTTTTGCTTATTTATTACCAGTGTAACTTTCCTTTTAAAATTAGGGTTATGGTGACAAAGGAAGTTAAGACTTTATTTTAAATGCGCTAAGTCAGTGAAATGTGGAAAAAAGTTTTGCAAAACTTTCATTATATAATTATTTCACTTTAAGGTATTAAAAAGTACTATGAAGTTGTCAAAACCAAGTTCACCAGTAACATTGGATTCAGGGGAGCTTTGCACTTTGTGACTCATGAAAATGCATTTTAATTATTATTATTATTTTTTTTTTGCACTGGTTCAGAGTATAAATATTACAGATTGTTTCCAGTGGGCATTGTTGTTAACCTTTTGGAATTCCATCTGCTCATGAAAACGAATGGATTAGTTCTACAGTTTCTCTCTTACCTATAACCCACTCTTATTGCCAATTTACTGTATTTTGAGCCTAAAACCTGAGCCCATGTCCTCCAACAGGTATGAAATCTTTTATCCCCCTGCCAGAAAACTAAGTACTGTATTTTGTATGTTTATTATATTGAAATGTCTGAAATGTAATTTACAACACTGTTTCAAAGCCCTTTACATGAAGTAATATTTGTATAGTATATACGTTTTTCTTCCAACCTTCCCCCACCTCCTCCAAAAAGTCCTTTAAAGCATGTATGTTTTTTTTACATTGAAATTTCACTGACTGTAGTAGTCAGAACATGGACGAGAGAAAATGGTGTATCCTACGTGGTAAAAACTTGATTGCCATATGCTCATTCAGTATGAGTAAAACATCTTTTATTAATGGGAGTTGCACAGATTCATGTGGGAAACTTTAGGGTCCAGGGAAGAACTGTAGATATCCTTTCCCTATTTACTGCTTTACTTAATTTTCAGTTACTTAGTTTCACATGCACTTGAGTGAAGCCCATAATTTAAATCTATTTAGAAGGACTTTTACAGAGGAAAAAAAAATTTTTCAATATAAAGCTTTACCTTTGAAGTGAGTTCTTTTTTAGGGTTTCTTTCTTACAGTTTCAACATTACTAGTTTAAGGTTGGTTAACTAGAAAGAATGTGTATATTTCTATTTTGCTTACTAACAAATTGGTAATCAAATTTAATTACAAGAAACCTGTGCTTAGAATTTTAAGATAAAAGACTGAGAGGGAAATACTTTTTTGAAATTTCTTTTAATTATTATTGCATTTCTAGTGTAGAATTCCTGATCTTTTTTATTTTTTTAAAAAAGTTGTTTTGAATTTAATGGCCTTGAAATTCAGTAAAGATCTTTCTGTTCTGCCCTTGCTCACTGACTATATAACAAATGCTAAATTTGTTCTGATGCTTTCTATGATGTGTAAGAGTGACTTTAAAATATTAGTCCCAGCAACTGATACAATTGATTTTCATGTGAAGAAGAGTTGGGAGTTTAATGTATATTCTGGATAGCAAATGTGTCTATGTAAAGTGCTGATACATGTTGTTACATTACAGTATCAAGTTACTGGCATTGAGGACCATACATTTATAATACTGTAGCTGCTATATTTATTTAAGTAGAGTCTGACAGTTACTGCACTAAACAATAAGGAGATGAGCAGGATTCAAGGCTAGTGTTAGACATCCCCCCTGCCCTTTTTTTCCTAAATGAGATCAAGAACATGAAATATCAAGGTAACAAAGGGTGCTACCATTTTAGTTTAAATATAATATCAGGATGCTCTTTCTTTGTTTTAGAAATGGATTTTTACTTTAGTAGTTTTGAAAAAGGGTACATCAACCTCTTCAGTACTGGTTTTTGGCATATTTTCACAGAAGTAAAGATGCCCTTTATTTTTTCTTAATATTTTATCTTTTAACAAATTTATCAGAAAAAAATATTCTTCTATGGAAATCTTTCTGTGTGTAGCCTATTTATTTCTCTTCCTAGAAGAGAGTCTAGAAGGGACTCTGGTAGAAATAGACTGGGTGTCTTGGAAGGTACTTGATAAAAATTCATCTCTAAATTCTAAAATAGGATCTCTTACCCTCTAAAAAGCTATACTAGTTTTTCAAACAAGGTTCTCTGATGACCCACCACTGCCTAATGTTTACTTGTATATTTACTTTAAAATGGATTTTAGTATGACAAACTTAGTCATGACAAACTTAAGGTATGTCTAAGGAAATAAAAGCTTAGTTGCCATTCAGTAGAAATAGCTGGCAGAGCATCTCAGTGTTTAAAGAAAAGAACACTCAGAGTGCCAGTAATAGATTTGAAGTAATTAGATGGATTATAGGCCAGGAATTAGAGACCGTTATTTAAAAGGAATTTGGTGGATGTTTTCAGAGGCTTACATGAATTCGCCAGGGGGGGGTAATTTTAATGAAATCAGTGAAGCCAGCCACTTGGATTTAGCTAGAATATTTTGTAGTCTTGCTATTTCAAACTTGATAGGAATGTTTTGCCAAGAAGCTTAACTGACAACTCTGCATAATTTTTATTCAGTATCATAAAACCTGAGTTAAATATTTGCTTCACTCATCATCTTAGAGGTTCTCCTATTGAAAACTTTTAAAGACAAGTTGTCCCTAACAGTAACTTACTACTTAAATTACCTTTTATGAGTTATCTGTCAAGCTTCATTGGCCTGGCATCTTTATTTTGGCTTTTTTTTTTATCCCTATGAAGTTTTAATCCTTTTCATTCTTTTTGAGAATTTGTAGATGTCTTAAAGCTTCAATAATAATAGTTGGGAGACTTTATATCAAAGTAGGCCTTCCTGCATGGCCGTATAACCCTGATTCTAGAGTCTGTCTGTATTTTCCTATTTCTCTCCCATTTGATCATATAAAGCACTTTTGTGATTCTATAGGTCAAAAATAAGCCAAGAAAAAATGGGTAAAATCAGTACTTCAGAAATGTGAAAGTGGGAATTTTCTCCAAAAGATCTTTTTTTAAAAAAACTTCTTGCTTATACTAAGAAATTCTTGATCATTGGCAATGTTAGAAATGATACTATGATTAGTAAAACCGAAGCTGATTCCCAGGAGGAAAAAAAATCAATATCTTTCTCTGTTCTCGCTTCACTTGTATCTTTCTGTCTCTAGATAGATGATAGATCGATCGATCTCACAAAGGGAAAAATATTTTTTACTTTTTCCTACTTTTAAAAATGGTACATTTCTGTCTATAGTTTTCCATGTCGGTCAAAATAATTTCTTTTAACTAAGATATAATGGTGAAGGCTTGTGCTAATATTATCTACTGATAGTTGAGTTTTATTTTTCTTTACCCATCAAAGATAGTACTCTAGATTTTTTACGTTGTCGCTTAAGCCTCAAGAATCTTTTACTCTTAAAGTATAGAAGTTAAAGGTTCTAATTTGCATTAAAAATAGAAAGATAATAAATTTAACAGGGAGGGTTGAGATTTACCATTGAGAAACCTGTTAAAGTATCAGGCAGCAGTGTGACAAAATGAAGATCTTGTTAAATCATATAACCAGCCTTTGGTCTCCCTTTCTTTTTGATATCAGTGTCTGAGGTAACCAAAATCTAATGTTGTATCTATGTTAGGATCTCAGTAAAGCAAAAGATGTTCTTCAGGGTAGATGCTGAATTAAATTTTTTAATCATGTTTTAAAGCAAGGTGGTTCTTAGAAAGTGCCTTTTCAGAAGATGGTGCTGTAGATTTTTATTTTTCAAATAGTATGAGGCTAAAAAATTTAAAGATAAATTATTTTAGAACTCTAAGAGTTAGACAGTTTCATATAAATAATGTTATTTGTTGTCCTGAATTTGGTCCCAGGGAATGACGGTAAAGCTTTTCTTTGGTAAAGTATCTAGGTAAATACTCACCAAATGTATTTTGTAAGTTTAAAAACAAAATTTTTAACGCTTTCAGTTCTCAGCTATGTTGAAGGTAATCTATAAGGCACATGAAACAGGAAGTCTGCTTAACTTTTTAACAAAAGTATGGGTAAAGTGCCCAAAGGGAAAGGTAACTTGCCAGGAATTATGTCCCTTTTTATTTTTGCCCCCAGTATATATTGACCCTTTTGTAAATACCTATTGGCAACCTTTTCTAAATAATCTTTATTAAAGAAGACTGCTTATAAAGGGAGACCCAAGTCATCATGAAAATCATGGAAATCAGTTTAAGAGAAAAAGTAAAATGATTATGTCTCTATCTTTAGGGAATTTTTCTTTTTTAAGAACTAAGAAACATTTTAAATGATTCTCTTTTTTTTAGAATGGAGGAACTATGAAAAACAATGACAGTGTATCTAAAGGGTATAATCAGTTAGTTAGAAATAGAACATGCAAAATTGGACTTTGGAAAAATAAAATAGAAGGAGAATAGCAGGACCATTCATACTTATTAGAAATTTAGTAATCTACCAGAAGGCAATTTTCCCCCAGATTAGGAAGCAGTAAACACAGTAAATGATCACCTCACCAGTTCTTGTTTGTGAATTTGGTGAGCATTCCTCCAGAAAAGAATAGACTAAAAACAAACAAAAAACACCACACCTCAGTAACTTTGTATGCTGCATTATGTAATAATAATAGTAAAATTATATTGATTGCGTGGCGTGTACTGCGTCTGTTTGCAAATATACATGCACATTAAGCTTTTTCATTTTTTATAATGTCTTAATAGCAATTATGAATTTATTTTTTTAATAATTTTTGTATTGTGATGTTTATATTTATTGGCAATTTGTGTGTAACTTTTATATTTTGCTTAGATGTTGGTTTTAAGGTATTTTATTTTTATAGATATTTCTAGCTTTTCTTCTTTCTTTGTAATATTAGCAAAGATTAAAATGGAATATTAATATTCCGACCAAACTACTAATTCTATAAAGTCTAGAGTTTGGATTTTACCAATAAACCATTAACACTATTTTCTAACTTAGAATATTTAATGTTGTTTATATAGTGGGCATTAAAGACAGTCTTTAGAGAGATTTCTAAACGTGGAGGGAAGGTGGGGCTTGTCCGTAAGTTGATTTCTTTCCCTTAAGTAACAAACTAACACTAACAGATTGGACTTATTTTACCCGATCTGCACTTCTTGGGCAACCTGTCAAATTATTGTTGCATATTTTTTTTAACTTCAGCTACATTCAAGCTGCTTAAATGGTCACATCATCCAGCATTAGGATTATGATACCATTTTTATAAGCCTGGAAAACAAATAGCACATGATCAAGAACTCATTGATAATTGACTTGAAATGGGATTTTTTTTTCCCTATAATTATATTACATGGAAGATTTGGTACCCTGATCTTTTCCCTAGCATACTTTGAAGCTGATTCAACTCTGAGCATCAGTGAAGAAACATAGTTTAAGTGGCTAGGTAGAGCTACAGATAAAGACTGATTCATGTAGTATTTCAGTTAATTAAAAATTTAACAAAGTAGTAATTTATTAATGTGAATTAATTGGAAGGCAATGAAAAGTATTATTATAGAATATTAATTTTAAGCATATATGGGCACTCCATTTTCCTAATGAATATATCAAGTTTATTTATATTGGCAACTAATTTTTTATAAAGGTACGTGAAAAAAGGCGAATTCTCTTAAACAGATAAGCTATTTCCTTTGTATTTTTACACTGTGAATTTGCTAGGTAAGCCATTTTTTCTGTAAGAGATTAAAAGGTAAACTTTACCCCATCCTCTGAGTTTTAAATTCTAAATTACTGGGGCTCAATGTGTGACATTTTACTATACTATAATCTATTCTTCTACTGAGAAGGGGGTAAATGAGAAAGTTTCAAGAAATTATAATTGGGAAATTGTTATTTTTATATTATGTAAAAACTTACAACTTAAAATGAATCAGCATGTGATTTTTATAGACATTAGCCATATCATTTCTTTTTGCATTTATGGCAGTTACAGTGGTTTTTATATAGATATATATAAGGTACTATGCTGAGCTACTTCCCTCACCCCCACATCGAGTATTAATTGAAGATTGGTACTCTGGTTATAGCAATTTGTTGCTACTAAATAAAAATCAAAAAGTTGGAAATATTTTTGTTGTAAGCGTATGCCCCCTCATAACGGTATTTACTGTCCTTATAACTTTAATAGTTTTATTAATTGTGTTTCAACATTGTCCTAGGTTGACAGGCATATAATTCTTATAGACCAACATTTTTTAAGGCAGCTTCAAGTAGAAATAGTCCCTTTTTTTTTTTTTTCTTCTGAAAGGTCATCGGAACCTGACATGTAGAGCCTTTTTTGCTCTTTTAATTGGTTGGCTCCGAAAATCAAGGTACCTGTCATCAGTACTAAATTACTGTGGTGAAGTACTTGGTGACTTATCTGTGTTTAGTTTACATTTATAGTCACATGCCACCTCTTAAGAAAGAAATATTTGTGCATTAAGTAATAGTTCATCCCAAAAAAAAGAACTGTCATGAACACTCTTATATGAGTAGAAAACAGATGGGAGTATAGGTCATTAGAACTTTCCTTTTTTTGGTTTTATTACATCCAAAAATTGACTCTATGTATATCTATAATTTTATGTTTGAAGTTTAAGAGATTGTGCCAGAAACTAAAGAGGGAGATTACTCTGATATTTAACGCCTAAGTCTTTCCATCTTTATTTACTTCATGGCTTTAGTTTGAAGGACAAACAAACAGATATCCCTTAATTTGGCCCTTTAATAATATTTTTAGAACCAAAGAAGGAAAGACTCTACAAAGATGTTGCAGATGTGACTCTATCTTTGTATCGTAAGAACCTGTGAAAACAAGGTCTTTGTAAAGAAATGGACTGGTGGGATTGTGAGAGTATGTGGTAAGGAGAGAACAAAGAAAAGGTTTCTTTGCTAGGATCCTTGGACAGAACCTTACAGTTTAATATTTGTTTAATATTTGTCACGTTCTCACAACCACATTGTAAAAGAGTGACAGTTGCTATTTGAACCTACAGAAGAAACCTAAGAAGAGTACTCTCTAACCTGAGTTTATTTCATGTTGTTGTCCCAAATATAAAGCTGCATCTATTCCTGTTAAATTTGAGTCTTGGAAGTTGCTTCTGAATTATAATAAAGAAATTAAATGAAGTAGTTATCCTTAAATAGAGCCATGGCGTTGCTATCAACATGGCCTGTCTCCCTTTTCCCTTTACATAGACTACACCAAGCAGGGCCTTACAAAATAGTCTTTTCTGTAACGAAAACGTTTTTGGTGAAAGGTTCAGGAAAAACAGTGGTAGGTTGTAATGAAGGGGGAATTTTGCCTAACATAGACAGTCCAGCCAAGCTAATGGACTCAATTTGGCCCCAAATTTAAAAAGAGGAAGCTTTGGTTTTAGTAGCAAGAGACTTGGCTCTCCAATGGTAATTAACTGCAAATATCTCCGTGTTTCACAGAAAGTGAATGGTCTCATACTATTGATAATGACCCTGCGAATGTGCACGTGTTCTTTTCCTAATTCAGAAATTAGGAATAGCAAGCAGTAACTGAAATCTCATAGTTTGTCCCTATAAGATTCTTTAAAAATTTTGCAGGCATTTTCTCATTTCTTAGCCCAGGGTACAACCTCTTTCTCCTTTTTAAAAAAGAAAAAAAGGAAATTTAGAGGCAGTTTATATAGAATTTCTACTACAAGTAAATAATAGAGTCTTTAAAATTCTTGGAGAAGGAGGATCACATGTGATAAGTTACAGCTTGATTGAGAGACTCCTTGAGCACTTTCTTCATGTTTGGGTTCTAAAGTTTTTTCTTTGACATACCATTCTTTTATTTAGTTGAGTGCCATTCCGTTTTGTAATATAACTGGTCGTTTTATACCATTTATGAATTGTGCAGTTCTTACCCCCCACCCCCCACCCCCACACACACACACACACATTCTCTCTCTCTCTCTCTCTCTCTCTCTCTCTCTTTCTCTCTCTGTTAAAAATAAGAGGCATAAAACAAAATATATATATAAGGAGAATCACTAGAATGTAATTTTAGTTATTGTAGATGGAAGGAAACCCTAACTTGGTTAAGAGAATTAAGAGTGAAAGTGTTAATGCTGCAGGTATGATTTCTAGCCATAGAATTTTTTGCTAGCTATAGAGTGATAATGTGGAAAGAATATATATCTGAAATATGTTATAGCAAAGTGATCAAAGAAAATCATTTTTGAAAGTAATATTTCTTCTGCAACCGAGATCCCCATATATTCTTAAGGAAAATTAATACAGCTTCTGGTTTTAATGAATCAGTCTCATTTAAACTTAAAAAGGTTTGCGACTTTTATTCTGACATTTGTCTTCTTAGATACGTAAAAATACTGAATGAACACTTAGACTGTTCTTTCCTCTTAATTTACATATTGATTCATTCAGACTTCAGTTAGCTATATCTCACATATCCCTCTTGGTGTGTGCAAAACATTAAAATGTTTTAACACATTTCCTAGTCGAGCCTGAGCTGTAAATAAGAAGGCACAAAGTGTTTTCAAACATAGGAACTTTCAGAAGACCACAAGTGGAGAAAGACTGTTGAAAACTTGTTGCCTTTCAGAGTGTACTTGGAGTTGAGTCAGCACTGTGCCACTAATGCGCTGTGTCGGTGGGCAATTCTCTTAATCTCTTTGTGCCTAGTTTCTCCATGTAAAATGGTAGTGATAATACCTGCCCTCACCTACCTCACAAAGTTGCTGTAAGAATAGGATGATGTTTGTGACAGTGCTTAAGCTCTTCAGAAGTTCAAGATAATATAATCTTGTCGTATGAATGGTTCATTTAGTTGGCCTCTATGAAAGTATCTTTAATTACCATAGATCATTTTACCAAACAAGTATGAGAGAAACTTGGGCCTTATTGTGGTATGGTGTTCACTTACAAATGTATCCTGTTCTTGTTTTCTCCCCTGCTAGATATTCAGTGCACAGTTTTTCTTTATAATAATCCTTGGCAAAGTGTAACTTCAAAAACCAAACTCCTTTTAGTGGTGCTATGGCAGCTGCGATTGTATTTTGAGGTAGATTAATGTGGAGAAACCATTAGATAATCAGAAAGTAACTTTGCCTTTTGCCTTTCAGGCATTTTCGCTACATGCTGGCATCAGAGGCAGTTATACAACCAGATAGTTACCCCTTTGTTTCTTAGTGGATTTTTGGTACATTGTTTTGGAGTAAGGGGTTAGGTTTGAAGGAGGGAAGTGTGCTTATTTCACTCATCTCTTTGAGAGTTGAACCTTGCTTTCCAATTACCATGTCTGTAAAAGATAAAATATAGTAAGTTTTTTCTTCATTTTAGTTCAGTTCTGAGCATCTGCAGGTGCTATCAGGCAGCCTGATATCTTCGTGGGTGGTGGGCAGACCTTACATTTCAGTAGCCTTCTCCATTTTCCTGGGGAGAGGATGCTTTTGTTTCTAGAAAATAACAAAGGGCACATCACCACGGGTTGTGTAAGCAATTCCTTGTTGCAGCAGACGAGTTTTTGGCTTTGTTTTTGTTTAAGAAAAATAATGCATTTTAGGTACACAGGGTATGAATACATTCAACATTTATTTTTTATCTCTATAGATGCTGACCTCCCCTTGTGCAAGCAGTTGGGATTTTCTAACTCATCTAACATAGGTGGTGTCTGTGTTAGTTTTATAGGATAAGAAGAATTGCAGGTACTAGAAGTAAAAAGTTGGGGAGATTCATGCTCGGAAAATAAATCCACCTTGCTGAGTGAGACAGCTAAGAGCATTGATATATCAGGAATACTTTTAAACAATTTTTGCAGTAATTTGTAGCTTTAATGTCTCTCTTCAATTATGGACCCGTAAAAGTATTAGTGTATCTCGTGAATAAAGATCATTCTTGTAGATTAGTATACGGATGCATTCATAGGCTGTGGGAAGCAGTGGTGTGTGTGTGTGTGTGTGTGTGTGTGTGTGTGTGTGTGTGTGTGTGTGTGTGTGTGTGTACTGTGTTTATAACACTGTCTATTACATAAGTTTGTATAGAAAAAAATATGTTTCTTTAGTGTTTGGGGGACTAAAATTGTAATATAACCATTCCAGTGTGATCTGACCACTCACTCTAGAGAATATTTATATTACACACAAATGCACACCCCTAAAGCGTTGCTAACTGCTCCCAGTTTAGATAATTGCTGCTTTAAAAAAAAAAAAACAACAACAACAACTAAGTAATGGAGGAGGAAATAGCACTCTTTTTAAAGGGGCTTTTCTGAAAAGTAAAATGTAAATGTAGGACATGTGGAGAGGGTGGGGACACCTGCAGATGTCCTACAGGTGGGCAAATAGCCTTTTAAATTTTACTTTTTAACCATCTTGACCGTGTGTGCCTATTTGTATTGCAGATGTGAACTATTTTTGAGGGTCGATATCAGTATGTTTTGAAACTGAATTATTACATAAAATCAAAGTAACTTCTTTTTTTTCCATCCTCCTTTTCCACACTAACTATTCTTGCCAAATATTTCTACTGATACCAAGTTTCAGCATGGTAAAATAATGAGACTCTCAAACCTCTTCCTTCTTCTTCCCGACCCTGTCTTGGCTTTTCATAAGTAAGAACAATTTACTGTAGTAATTTGAAGACTGCAGAATTTCAAAATGTTTGTCTATAAGCCTTCCTTTGTCAATGTTTGGTTATACAGTAACATCAGTTAAAACAGTGGAGTGAGTCTGAATTTGTAATATGCTATAGGACCAGATAAGATCTTGAATGATACTAAATTTGACTGGCATATTTTATTAAGAGGAAATTGGAACTTTGTATGGTGGGAGTGGGGGCAAATCTATGATATATATGTAATCACTGTATAATCAGAAATACCAAATGCTGAATCCTATCACTGTGTACTTGGGGGCCAGGCTTTGGATTTTACTGTCATCTTAATTCCTTGAAGACTATATATAATTATGAGCAGAAGGCAAATAAACAAAAGTACTTTTTTTGGTATTTAAAGTTTGGTAGTAAATTTTCTACTTTTCGTTAATTTATCTTCCCCAAAAAATTACTACAAAAAAATTAGGATTGAGATTGAGAAGCTTGAAGAAGCCGCTTTTTAAGCAGTTCAGTAACTTACAATATATTGTTAAAGAAATTGTCATCATTCTTTCTGAGCCAAACTGTCACTAAAATGTCCTGTGACAGAACCACTCCTCTTTGTTCTGCCATTCTGCATTATTGGAAGGGTTCTATGTTGTATTTGTTTTTAAATCCTTGATTTTTTTTTCTAAATGGTTTTAATGTTGCTTAGCTTCAGTTTGAAGTGTAACTTTCACTAATAACTGCAATAAAAAGAAAAGCTTTGCTCCAAACTTTCTATTGTGTGGTCATCATTACAGCTCTTCAAGTAAAGGGAGCCAGTGTGATACAGTGGGCTAAAAACCTGGATTGCATGACACTCTTGACTGGTTTCTTGATGCTTCTAAATCTCAGTTTCCTCTGCTATAAGAAGTTAACAGTACAGTTGGGACATTAAATGAGATACTATATGGAAAGTACCTAATAGTGCTGGGCATATGGATAGAGCTCAGGTTTTAAAGAGGTTCTTCCCCTCATTCTATTTTCCTTTAAATAAAATGGGTGGAGGGGAAAGAGGGGAAGGAAAGAAGTCAGGCTTACAAACTCTGCCAGGCAGTGAACGAATTTAAGAATAATTAGGGGAAAAAAGGAAACAAATGAACTGGGGACTCTTCACAGGCCCTGAAGTACACAGCCCAGGTATAATAAGCAAGAAAACACAACGAAAATTTTGGGAACCAGCTCTTAACTGTCATAACTGTATAACTTTAGGTTTATCATTTCATTTTATAATTGAAGTTATTGGACTAAAATCAGAGGTCTCAATTTGGCAGGCCAATTTTGGCCTGCAAATAATTTTTGGTGTTTAAAATACTTTCCTTAGTTGCTAACATTTTAATAAGCAGATCTCACATAAAAATCCAGATTTTTTCTTCCCTTGCAAAGTGAGGAGATTCAGCCAATTCCCAGTATTCCTTCCTTCACGGCTGCCATCAGGGGAATCTCAGTAGTGGTTTCCCCCTTTGGATGAGGCAAACTCTCTCCACAGCCCAGCCTGCACAGTCATTTTTCCTTTGCCATCACTGGCTCAGAGGAACCCTAATGTAAGGTAAGGCCTCCAACCAATGCAGGAAGGCCTTTGAGGACATGCTCCTTACCTGGGGGTAACTCACTACTTCTAAACAGTCTGGCCTAAATAGTAAAAACTTACTACTTCATAATTTTCATTTACCCTATTTATGTTCTCTAGAACATCAGAAAATTAAGTCTAATCCCTTCATGCTATTATGTATTCGCCATCCCAGTCTTCTCCCAGCTACCTGTCCCCAAACTCTCTACCACCCTAACAGTACTGTTTGTGTTCTTGAAGGATCTTGTAACTGATGCTAAAGAAGCACTTGAAGATGCTTTTAGGAAACTAGGTTAATCTGTCAATGCCAGGAAAGGATGCAAATCATTTTTCCAATATTTGATAAAATGTTTTTATCGTAAAGGGGCCTGAAATCTTTAGTTTTATCTGTAGGAGAAATATGATTGTTTTCCTGTGTTGTTACTTCTACAGTTTCCGCAGTCTGTAAAGATTTCTGCAATGCCTTTATAAAGCAGCACTTTCCTCTGTTACAATATTTTCCTTTAAGAATAATGCTTGGGTTAAAATTTTATTTATAATTATAAACAAAACAGACACCTTAGTGACAGGATTATGAAGCCTAATATGTCTGATTCTCAGCAGAAACAAAATGTGAATAGACTCTTTCGCTGAGTGATTTTAGAAACAGCCCAGTCAAAAGTACTTGAAACTGCTAAATCTACAAAATTGCTCCTTCTTTACTATAATGTATCCTGCTAAATGGAATCTGCACATTATATTGTAAATGCTAAAACCAAAAATCGAACATAGGAATAGTTCTGATGCTGCACCAGATGGGATTTTAGTCACCACCATCATTCAGACAGTTTTCACTTATATTTTATACAAATGTAAAATTAAGGTTGTTTAACCATCATATATATATTTGTGAGTTTAATTTTTCTAATTTATTTTTATACTTTTATAAACATTTTAGATTATAAAAGTTTGCCATCTGTGGTATCTCTTTGCATAGTATTTTTTTTTGAAATTTATTAAGAGGTGTTATCTAAACCTTTAATGAAAAAGTATTACTATTGTCTACATTAAGGCCCTTTAGAAATTAATTTGAAAATATGCACAAAAGTCTAACACTTTACTTTGAATATAGCAAAGGCTTTCCATTCATTTTAACTGAGATGTTTCTTATGCAAAAGTAGGCTTTGAAGATAAGAAGGGCAAATCATGTGGGGGAAAAATGGTTTCTACACATCTGCAGCTGTGTAGCTGAAGGAGCAGTTATTTCTTTCTGATTAATGTGCTATGCAAAACTACTTAGCCAAGCCTAAGTCTCAACCTTGAGGATCTCAACGTGAATTTATTTGGCCTGAGACAAGTGCAAGCCCAGCAGAAAAGTGACCCGGAGAAAAGGCCAGAGTGGAACGATTTGCTCTGGAGTGATGTACAAACAAAAACACCTAAATTAAAGTCATAGAGGTCAACTGTTCCCACCCACTACATGTTTTAAAAAAGTAATTTACTCTGGGGAAATTACACCCAACTCCCATGGCAAACACCTCTTACATAAAACCTCAAGATCTTCCAGTATACCTTGGAGGAGGGTTACTTGACTGTAAATAGCCAAAGCCAGTCCCGATTTAAAGCAGGAGTCTTCTAATGTGACACTAAATATTTGTTGCTTGGAAAACATTTTCACAATCGTAGTTCTCAGATTCCTAAGACAGCAATTTCCAGAGAGAAGGCCAAAATTTGGTTTAATAGTAAACCACAACTGAAATCTTTGCTGTCATTTGCCAAGCATTTTAGTAAGATGTTTTGAACTTAGATTACCTACATATGACAAAAAGAAGAGAAAGGGGGGGGAAAAATCTTCAAATTTGGACTTTGTTTTTCCACTTAAGAGGGAAGGAAAGCTAAAATAGAACAGCTTTTAAGATGTTCAGTTTTGCATTTTTGCATATTGGAAATAACGATATTTTAACATGCTCCTAAATAGAAAAGAGTGAGTAAAATTTCATTAATCTTCTGAATGATCTTTATATCTGTTTTTCCCTTAGATTTAAATTAAGTAGCAAACCACCTCAAATCGACACCAAAATAGGAACTACTACTTTGTTAGAGATTAGCCACTTAAAAGAAAAATAAAGCTAACTTATCTGAAATCAATCCAGGTAAAAGATAGTTAACAATTATGGAGAAATTATAATCCAGTATTAAGTTAGATTATCAAGAAGCATAGTGGCGTATTTCAGTAGGAAAGATGGGAGATGGAGAGCACTAAGAACAACTAACTATGTTTGCCTCTAGGCATTGGAAGTGCAATCAAAAAAGAGATACTTAGGCTTCAGAGGACAACACACAAAATACACTGCAAATATACACCTCCAGAAAACATAGCAGTTATCTACAGTAGCTAGATGTAGGAATACCTTATCAAGACACTTTTTCATAATAGAATAAGATCAGCTAACCAAATTTTAAAGTACTTCTAAACATTGTTCTAATTAATAAAACTTGTACTCTCTGATGATTTTAATTATTGGAATTCGCTAAATTAGGTAATACTATGACTAGGAGGAGGAAATTGAGAAGAACAGAGAAGATACATACCATAAGACCACAGATTTTGAGAGAAAATGGCTTATTGCAAAGGCATGTCATGTCTGGCTAAATCTCAATCACTTTTAAAAAATGTTATGAGTTTACATTCTTCTGTTTCACATTTTTTTCACATTTAAAATTCTTGCTTCATTGTCTCGTATGATCCTTTTTAATGCACGAGAATGCTGAATACTTAGGATTTTTTAAATCTGAAGATAGAGAGCAGCCAACTGAAGTATATTACAACGAGACACACGCCAGTCATGCACAGCATCTTCCTCTTCATAATGTCTATGTGAGAAGTGGCAGCTGTATCTAAGAGCACCATTCCCAGGTTACTACATACATCAAACAGAAATGTCCTGTGTGAGGATTCCTTTGAGCATATGGAGTTCTTTCTATAGAAGTCTACATTTGACCAGATGTCATGATCACAAAACACAGAGATAAAACTGCCCACAAAGTTTTGTTAAAAGTAAATTCCCTATTCCATTTCAATAAATACACAAGTACACCAATGAAAGCCAAAAATATCCCCAACCTGAAAGGGTTCGTGGTAATTTGTAGGCTGTCTGATTCTTATGTTGACCTTCTTTCTCTCAGTCTCAGCAGTACAATCACCCGTTTACTCAGCTATAAGTCCCCCTCCAAATGATAAATGTCATCTGATCTAAATTTCCTTTTAGCAGAAAAGTGGAGGAAACTTGGAACTGACATCAGCTGGAGCATTTGAAAGGCCTCAGGGCTTTCATCATAATCCACTGCAGTAAAAAAAATACCTTGCTGGTGAGTGCACTGAAGCATTGCCAGGTATTTGCCAAAATCTGAAATCCTTCAGCAGCATGTCTGCACATTACATGTGATCTAAACTTCTGGACATCAAAATTATAGAGTAGTTTCTTGGTGTTTCCAGTACAAAATAATAGAGCACGGCATCACTCATTCTTATCACTGTTTTTCTTGGTCCGGATGTGTGGGAAGCTTAATGAGTCATGAACACCAAGGCCACCATCATAGCCAGAGATGTATGCCAAAGTCCCCACCATTCTGCCATATTTGTTTACTTCTATCTGTTATAAAATGTTTCAAATCATATAAGCCAAAAATCAATCATTTCTTCTAGCAATTAATTTGTCCAAGACTTTTTTTTTTCCTTCTTTAATCCTAGTAAAAGAGGTACATCACAAATTCCCTACCCATGTGTGGTTTATGAGCCATATATTACAGTTCAGAAAAAAGTATTTTGTGGTCAAGGAAGTTTGGGAAATGTTCTAGCCTCAATCTTTCTGCAGAGCTCAACTCGCATCTCTAACTGCCTGCTTGGACATCACCTGGATCCACCACAAGCACCTCAAAGTTGTCAAAAGCCAAGCTCATCTTCCCCTGGCCAGCCATGCCCTTGGTTCTTTGCCTCCCTTCCCTCGTGGAAGGCTAACACCAACCCACCAATCACTTCTGAGGCAGGCTGCCTGCGTCTGGATCCGAGCTCTCCCACTTAGTTATGTGACCCTGGGCACCTTCCTTACTTCTCCGTGCCTCAGTTTCCCCGCCTGTGAGAGGAACATCATAATAGCACCCACCTCATGAGGTCCTCCTGCACAG